TATTTTATATGAAAATTGTATTCGAAAAAAAAAATCATTGCTAAATCATCGTCAATAAATTATTTAAAAAATTGATAGATCCATCAGAACATCGAAAAAACGATCTCCGTCACCAAAAAAAATTCACAATTAAATTACGTGACTGAGCGATTTTTAATCATCAAATTTGTTAATAAAAATGATTTTTTTTTAATCGAGAAAATTGTTGGATGCTCAATTAATTGTTTATGAATTATTTTATATGAAAATTGTATTCGAAAAAAAAAATCATTGCTAAATCATCGTCAATAAATTATTTAAAAAATTGATAGATCCATCAGAACATCGAAAAAACGATCTCCGTCACCAAAAAAAATTCACAATTAAATTACGTGACTGAGCGATTTTTAATCATCAAATTTGTTAATAAAAATGATTTTTTTTTAATCGAGAAAATTGTTGGATGCTCAATTAATTGTTTATGAATTATTTTATATGAAAATTGTATTCGAAAAAAAAAATCATTGCTAAATCATCGTCAATAAATTATTTAAAAAATTGATAGATCCATCAGAACATCGAAAAAACGATCTCCGTCACCAAAAAAAATTCACAATTAAATTACGTGACTGAGCGATTTTTAATCATCAAATTTGTTAATAAAAAAAGTTGTTGAAAAATTCTAAAAAAATCATGGGTAGTCAATCGATTGTTTATGAATTATTTTCTATAAAAAATCATCTTCTAATAAACAAATGATTGCAAAATGTTCATCAATAAATCATTTAAAAAATTGATAGATCCATTGAAACACCGAAAAAACGATTTTCGATCACCGAAAAAAATTCACGATCGAATTTGTGATTGTTAGCAGCCCCCCGGGTGCACCCTGTCGACGAGAGTCGTCCTCACACACACGAAAACATCGTCATCAACCGTTTCCCCAATTTTTTAGTCCCACCACTGTGAGGGTGATTGATCGTAACCATCTCCGGGTAATATAAATCTCGTAGAAATATCAAAGTGGAGACTTCACCGTGACTAGTCGGAAAATACTCTCGAGTTAATTCGTCTTGGTCTCCAGCATTTTCGTTAAGGTTTGGCATTTGGGTTTCTAAAACCCAGAAAAAAGGAGCCCGGGCATTTCTTCCATCCTTGATGGGGGAAAAATTACGGCTGATGGACGTCCTCGGGATAAATTGTCCAGGTGAATCCTCTGGGGGGAGGGATGCCTCGGAAATTAGCCCGGGGTTTCTTCTCAAAGAACGGAAAATAAAAGATTGCGGGTTTTCGATAATTTCGTTAAAACCCTAATCAGTCAACTTCATCCCTTCTCAACTGAATTATTTTTCCAACCGCTTGTACTCGTACTGCACTTTCTCCTACTACTGCAGATCATTATATTGTGGTCTGTGTACCGAAAATTCATTGTTTATAAATTATTTTAATTGTTTCATCAATCTATCTCCAAAACTGAACTTTCTAATTTTTTTTTCGGATTGTTCAAATGTTTTCTAACGGTTCAATATCGAGATTTAAATTGAGACCTGCAAAGTTTAAATAATAAAATCATTGTAAAATATCCGGAAACTTGGGGTCAAATGGGGCTCGATTGAAAATTTTGAAACAAATCATGAATATTCCGCGTTATTCAAATTCCATTTTGCACAGAATTAATATTTTTTTAAACATTAATTGTCTATAAATGAATAATTGAAATTATTTAAACTTTGGGAAACCTTATTTTTTGCAATTTTTTAATTATTTCATCAGTCTTCCCCCATAAGTGAACTTCCCAATTTTTTCAGACCTGCAAATTTTAAATAATAAAATCATTAAATAAAATGTCCAGGAACTTACGATCAAATGAGGCTCGATTGGAAAGCTCTGATGTTCGACTACTAATTAAAAAAGCCTTTCAGCCATAGACTCAACCATTTTCAATTATCAAATTTGTCAATTGAATTGCGTGAGAAAATTTTGAAATAAATCGTGAATATTCCGCGTCATTCAAATTCCATTTTGCACAGAATTAATATTTTTTTAAACATTCACTGTTTATAAATGAATAATTGAAATGGTTTAAACCTTCTGAAACCTTATTTTTTGCAATTTTTTAATTATTTCATCAATCCTCCCCCAAAAGTGAACTTCCCAATTTTTTCAGATCTGCAAATTTTAAATAATAAAATCATTGTAAAATGTCCAGAAACTTTGGGTCAAATGGGGCTCAATATGGGTATCCTTAACATCACTAAATGCCGCGACAATGGCTTGTACTAGTAGAAATTTTATTTCTTCCCATTAAAAAAAGGGTATCGGCGAGATAGTGGGGTTTCTCGTGGTCTTTCTCACACTTCTTATCGAGAACGATAAAAATAAAATGTGGGGATTAATGGGAGGGAAGAAACTCACTCGCGCTTTCACGGATTATCTGCAGTCCCCTCCTTCGCGACTTCCGCATTCGGTCAGGAGTGCCGTCTGAAGTCGCCTCGGCATGTACATGCGGGCGGAATGCCTACACCAATATGTAGGTCACTCTGTCACCGGTTTGGGACCACTCGATACACGAGTTCCAATCATAGTCATTATCGAAATTTGACGACTCTTTATTCTGCTCTTCGTTCATTTTTTTTTCGTTTTGTTTTAACGAAATTGATTTTTTTGCGGGGGAAGTTATGGGATTTGCACGTTTTCAATCATCAGATGCTTTGATTGAACACATTTTGAACGAAATTATTTCGTTTTGCATTGCTTTTTATGAATAAATAACGGGAATTATTCTGACTTTCAAAAATATGATTTTACGAATTTTCTTGAAATCTTTCGATTTTTTTTACATTTTTTAAATGTTCACAAACTAAATGTTTTTCAAAATGAAGAAATACATTTCAAAATGAGCCCGGATTCAGAAAAAAGTTCCAAAATATAAAAACAGAAAAAAACTATTCTTCAATTTTTTAATTGTTTATTGAACAATTGATTCAATATTTTTTTTTTGTGAAATGGCTCCCGATGTCATCGCCCCCGCCCCTCCTCCATTCATTGACATCCCCTCCCCCCCAGAAATTCGAGCGAACGGGGAGATGTCTTTCACCTGTGCGCAAGAAGAAGAGAATTGGTTACAAAAAAAGACGAAGATTTTTTTAAAATTCATTAAGAGAAGCGCGAGGGGGGAGAGTTCTAGGGCCCGCACACATACATTTGTTAATAATTTCTGGGGAAATTTCACGCCACCTCTGACAGTACGTAAGAAGTACAGGCGAAAAATAAAATTGTCTCATGTGCGATGCTCTATTTTTAATTTACGATAAATCGAGATCAGCTGAGTGAAATTCAAAAAATTCCGCGTCATTTTCAAGATTTTTTTGAGAACTTCAAAATGAGCGCAGATTCATCCAAATCGCATCATTGGTTCCCCATGAATGTTAGAACTGAAAAAAAGTTTCAAAATCTACAAAAACACTATCTTCCGACTTTTTAATCATTCATCATTTTAAAAAATCATTTAAAATTTTTTGATTTTGTGAAATCGATCTCGATGTCATCGCCCCCGCCCCTCCCCCATTCATTGACATCCCCTCCCCCCCAGAAATTCGAGCGAACGGGGAGATGTCTTTCACCTGTGCGCAAGAAGAAGAGAATTGGTTACAAAAAAAGACGAAGATTTTTTTAAAATTCATTAAGAGAAGCGCGAGGGGGGAGAGTTCTAGGGCCCGCACACATACATTTGTTAATAATTTCTGGGGAAATTTCACGCCACCTCTGACAGTACGTAAGAAGTACAGGCGAAAAATAAAATTGTCTCATGTGCGATGCTCTATTTTTAATTTACGATAAATCGAGATCAGCTGAGTGAAATTCAAAAAATTCCGCGTCATTTTCAAGATTTTTTTGAGAACTTCAAAATGAGCGCAGATTCATCCAAATCGCATCATTGGTTCCCCATGAATGTTAGAACTGAAAAAAAGTTTCAAAATCTACAAAAACACTATCTTCCGACTTTTTAATCATTCATCATTTTAAAAAATCATTAAAAAATTTTTGATTTTGTGAAATCGATCCCGATCTCATCGCCCCCGCCCCTCCCCCATTCATTGACATCCCCTCCCCCCCCAGAAATTCGAGCGAACGGGGAGATGTCTTTCACCTGTGCGCAAGAAGAAGAGAATTGGTTACAAAAAAAGACGAAGATTTTTTTTTAATTCATTAAGAGAAGCGCGAGGGGGGAGAGTTCTAGGGCCCACACACATACATTTGTTAATGGTTTCTGGGGGGATTTAACCCCACCTCTGACAACACATAAGAAGCACAGACGTACAGTGGTTCGGAACGGGGCAAATCCAAGTGGCGTCAGTAGGTCACTGGGACGCGGCTCGGAGCCGCAACGAGGCCCACTCGCACGTTCAGTCAGTCCCCGCCGGCCAGGACAGCCACTCCGGGCCACGGAAGTCACGCACCCCCTACTACACACGTCGCGGGTAACGATTTGGGCCCGCGAGAGGCCCAAACATTTTTTTTTCGCCAAAAAAGTGTCGACAGTTGGAATCGAAAGAGAAGAAAAACGCAAACAGTTCCGGAGAAATTGATAAAAAATAGAGACGCACACCCGGATATCCGGGTCGAGGAATTGTGATTTTTTTTTCTAAACCGTTTTGTGAGAACCTACGAGTGCTCAAGTGAGGTATCTTTTGTTCTCTTTTTCTTTATTTTGGATAGAGTGAAGTGATTAAAATTTTTTGCCGGTGAAATTATGGCTTTTTGTAGTCTTTGGGAATTGTCACGCTCGTTGGAGATGAATGAAAGTACGCGATGCCAATGAATTGAAACGGAATATTTCTTTTGTTGTCAATGGCCTGTTGGAGTTCAATTTAATTTGTTGTCTCAATGTCGCGGAACGAGTGATTAACTGGTGGAAAAAATCAACTCGTCTTGAGGGAATTGGTTTAATGGTTTTTTATTCGCTATTCTTGAGGTAATTTTGACGTTTTTTTATTGCAGAATACACACACTCAACCACGATGGAAAGAACGCGGAGGAGTTTACGGAGAGCCATTTTCAGTTTTCTAGTGCCGTTCTTGCTGGCATGTGTGAGTAAATATTTTTTTAGTGGATTTCGTGGAAAAGATGCGAAAATCTTCGTGTTTTTTTTTTAAATTCACGGTTTCGTTCAGAAAACACGCGAGAGTTTGCGAAAAGCCATTTTCAATTTTCTATCGCCGTTCTTGCTGGCATGTGCGAGTAAACAATTTTTTTAGTGATTTTCGCGGAAAAATCGCGAAAAATTCGCATTTTTTTTATTTCGCGGTTTCGTTTGGAGAACGCGGACGAGTTTACGGAGAACTGTTTACATTTTTCTATTGTCGTTCATGTTGGCGTGTGTGAGTAAAATATTTTTTTTTGTCAATTTCGCAGAAAAATCGCGAAAAATTCGCGTTTTTTTTATTTCACGGTTTCGTTTGGAGAACGCGGACGAGTTTACGGAGAACTATTTACCTTTTTCTATTGCCGTTCATGTTGGCGTGTGTGAGTAAAATATTTTTTTTTGTGAATTTCGCAGAAAAATCGCGAAAAATTCGCATTTTTTTATTTTGCGGTTTCGTTTGGAGAACGCGGATGAGTTTACGGAGAACTATTTACATTTCTCTATTACCGTTCATATTGGCGTGTGTGAGTAAAATATTTTTGTTGTGAATTTCGCAGAAAAATCGCGAAAAATTCGCGTTTTTTTTATTTCGCGATTTCGTTTGGAGAACGCGGACGAGTTTACGGAGAACTATTTACATTTTTCTATTGTCGTTCATGTTGGCGTGTGTGAGTAAAATATTTTTTTTGTCAATTTCGCAGAAAAATCGCGAAAAATTCGCTTTTTTTTTATTTCACGGTTTCGTTTGGAGAACGCGGATGAGTTTACGGAGAACTATTTACATTTTTTTATTGCCGTTCATGTTCGCGTGTGTGAGTAAAATATTTTTTTAGTGAATTTCGCGAAAATCGCGATTAATTTCACGGTTTTGTTCTCATGATTGGAGTGACCGGAAACGCGATTATGGGGGTTCCGCATCCGCCGAATGCACCCCGTGTCCTCGATTATCCGGGGATCGAGACAACAGGTGCACGTGCGCTGAAAAAAATATGGCGATTTTCCGACAAATCGCGAAACGTTTGCGGTTGGGGTTCGAGAGTGGTTAATGACGCTACGTGTTGTTAAGGAGCTCATTAATGACTGGCTCGAGGTGTTACGGGCAGGCAGGTTTTTTAAATGAATCTCTAATGAATCTCCGTTATTCATTAGGGGCTCTAATTCAGCGATCGGTCAGTCGGAGAGATTTACGGAGCGTGATTTTTTTAGTTGGGGATAAACTGTAAATAAGTATTGTTATAATGCATTAAAAGTAAAAATTATCGGTGGGAAGCGCGAGAAAATTTCGGGAGGTCGTCGCGTTTCGAGAAATTGATGAAAATTATTGGTGAATGTCGAGGGGGGTAAATGGTTCGGTTTTAATTTGGTGTTGGTTGACATTGGCTGAGTGAAATTGACATAATTTTGCGTAGTTTTGGAGGATTTTTGACAGTTTTAAAATGGTCTCATTTTAATCCAAATCGCAAATTACAAACAAAATTTGATTTTTTAAGTTTGAAATTGTCATTTCACTGGTGTTTTATTCAATCGCAAAATAAAATTGAGCGATGGATATTGAAGGATATAACCATTGTCGATACTATTGGAAAATCATAACATTTAAATCTTGAATAATTTGTGATTAAAACAAAAAAATTTCAATTCATTTTTTAGAGCTTTGGGATGAGATAAAAGAGAAAAATTGTTCTCTAAATACTGAAGATAAAGAATTACATTTTGTTATTTTAAAATTCGATTTAAAAAATTGATTATAAAAAACAAATTATCTCAATATGAAGATTGACAGAAAAATGTAAAAAAATTCGTCAATAATTTATTCGATCTATTGAACAATTATGATTGCCCAAGCACTTAATTAATATGGGGCAAAATGGGTCATTATGGATAGTCAAAGATATAAAAAAATAATTCTCTGATTCTTTTCAATTGAAAAATTATTGGATTGTAATTTAAATAACGTCAATACTCAATAGGTAAAAAAGTCAAAATTGCAAGGAATTAACTTCGTTTACAAATATTCAGTGAAAGCAGACACAAAATGCAAAACTCCATTCTCTTATTCCACGAAAAATCCCCCCTCCCCTTTCCCAATCTCGCAAACAATTGAGCCGACGCGATGAAAAATTTGTTAATTGAGAGAAGTTGAAGAAAAAAAAATATGATATGCGACGTGCGTCTGGCAGGTAGAAAGAAGGAAAGACTGGTGGGTAGCCGCCGAACCGATGATAGTAGGTCACTGCGCCGGACGCGCGTTGCCCTCCTCGTGCGTTTGAGAGAGTTGGCCAGATACAGCTGCCGTATTACACCCAACATGTACAGCCACGATTGGCTCGTATGTACCATTCGTGGATATGGAGTATTGGATCGATATAAAGTGTCACTGGAGTGAACTGCGTTAACTGTTGGGAATATCGGCAACACGGACACGCCTTTGAATCGTTACACCGACATTGGGATCAACTTCTTTCTTTCAAGTTCCAGCTTTCTTTCCTGGTAAATGTCTCTCGGGTTGGCCCCGTATCGGACCAGCGTGTGTTCCCGGTTTTTTATATTTTTTGTTTTTATGCACTGTGGGGTAGGGACTGCTCGGGTGCAGATCGTTTATTTACAAACATTTACGAGGAGACATTCACGATTTTTCTGGCGATAAAGTCTTTGGGACAAAATGAGAATTCAAACGGAAATTTAACGTGTACTTTTTATTTCTCATTTTTGGACGAAATAGTACGAATTATTCGGTGTGATTCAAGTACTTATAATAATATTAAACGGTTAAAAGACAATAAAGACAAAGTTTTCTCCCAATTCTCAAGTTCGTCTGGCATTCATGAATATTTCATCGACGATGAACGAAAGTTAATGAATAAATTCCATTAATTACGCGGATAATCCCGGGTTTCTAAATTTTATCGATCATTAACAGTCGATTTGATATTGTAAGTAGGGTCGTTAAGGAGATAGAGGAATTTATTCGAAATTTGGAAGGTGACAACTTAATTTAGTTCAGTAGGTCTCCAGTTTCATCCAACGAAATTTATTTCTGAAAACTTTCGGGAGCTGAACGGGTTATTTTTTTATTGTCGCAAGTAAAATAGTTTGAGATTGCTCGCAAACGATAAAATGTGTCTTTCGTTTCATTTAATTAATAATACATTTTTAATAATAAATTAATAATCCTTTCCTCGAAATTCCAATTATGAAAACACAAATGAATGGATTTTCCAGAGAAAAAAGAATTTCTGAGATTTTTTGGGACCAAAACAACTCATTTATTTATTCTCACAATTAAAATATTTTGAGACTGCTGTCAGACGAAAAAATATATTTTTCATTTCCGTCAACTGCACATCATTTTTTTCTAGTAGATCATCAGGGGTGTTTTGAGATTTCAGTAACAGCTGTATAAATTCTGACCTTCGAATTGTTGAAAATTTCAAGGCTAAAATTTCCAACAGTGATCATTAATCCTCCCCTTAAAATGCCAATTATAAAAATCCAAATGAATGAATTTTGAGAAAAAACGATTCCTCTATTCCTCGGAGATGATTTTCCGCGCGGCTTTTCTCGCACAACAAAGGGGGGATTCTGAAGGCTATATAATAGATGCGAGGGCGTGCGGTGAGGAATGATGGAGTTGGAAATGTCGACAGGTGGATGACTGATCCTAATGCGCTCCAACTTTCCTTCCCATCTTTGGGGAAAAATTGGTCGGCGGCTTCTCTACAGTTCATCAAAGTCACACCACAACCGCAAACAAAGACTAATTCGTGGGGTCACCGGGTCCTAATGGTGGAATTAATCTCAGTTGGGGAATTTTAATATGTTTTCGGTGGAGTCTGGGGGGCATGTGCGTCGCAAGATATTTGGTAAAGAGGGATTAATAATTTTTCGAGGAGGAGGATTGAATGAGGCTCGTTAAATTAATAGTTGGAGCTTAGTCACTTTCTTGCTATTAGCGATGGCGCCCCTAATATCCACAATCTTGCGGTTGCAACCACAGGCGGCTCGTTTACTGGGGGCTTTTCAACGGCTCCGACACGCCCGTCAATCCTATATTTTACTTCTATTAATTCGATATTTCAATATCGGACGCGAATACTGGCATTAGGAGTGTTCGAGGCTGCAAAGAGAACGCTTTATGGGATTGGGAAATTATGCGATTTGCGGTTTAAACGGTTTTGGTGCTGCTTTTCGAGCCAAAAAAACAAAACAAAATTTTTTAATTAAAAACAAATTTAATAATTTCCAATTTTTTAGAATTTTTTTTGTTAATTCTTTTGAACATTTGTGGTTAAACCACTGGATTTTTAGAATTTTTTTATGTCAAAATTGATAACTGTTTGGGATTGTCATTTTTTAAATAAATAATTTATAGATAATGTTTAATTTAAAAAAAATCAGATTTCAATAATTTTAATAATACTTGCTATTCATGATTTTTTTAAAGTTTGCACACAGATTTTCTTTGTAGAACTAAAAAATTAATTGATGATTCTCAGTAAGTATTTGATGCTCTTGATAAACAAAAAATACATTTTGTGACAAAAATTTCTACAATTTATCATTTACAATTAAACAATTCTATTCTTAGTAAATTTCAAGGATAAAATTCCCAATTTTTAAAGATTTTTCTCTTTCCATAAATAATTTATAAACAATAACCCATTTAATTTACTGCAGAACCAAAAAAATTACTCAATGATCTTCATTAATTCTTCAATAATGTTAATGAATAAAGAAATTGTATAAAAAATTTCGACAATGCTGAAATCGCCACGCCATCCTCATTGTTACACACAAAACCAAAGAATAAAAAAATGTGAAACGCATGTCAATGAACCGGAAGCGTCTGTCCCGTAATATCACTCGGATCAAAAGACGACAAATGTGCGTTGAGAAGCGGCGCGCACTCTTTTTCCTAATATGTGGCTCGTCTAGCTGTTCTTGTCCCAATACCAGAGATACACTTCTCCCGTATCTCATTGGGAGCACACTCGTACGCTTTTCAATTAAAATTCAATTTGCACGGGCTCTCCTAATCACAATGCCCGGATCAGCCCCATTCTCACGTTTTTCTTCCTCTTTTCCGTTTTTACTCTATCCACATTATTTTTCCTGAAGTGACTGATCAAATTTTAGAAATTCAACCGCGAGAGTCGGAATTTCCCACATTTCGCGTTAAAAAAATTGGCCATTTCTTCCGCCTCGATAAATAAGACATCTCGCGTTAATACTTTATTGGATTCGAATAAATTCATGTAAAATCGCCCCTTTAGCGCTGAATTATTCATGAAATTCCGCTGCGAATGTTGTAAAAACACAACAATGTCAGTAAAGAAAATTTTATTCCCCTTTAATTACCGCATGAAATTTTATCCCTCCACAACTTATGTCTTCATACTCGGCAGCTTTTATAATCTCGACAAACACAATTGCCGCCAGTGAGAATTCATATTAGCATTTACGATAACAAATGACCTCGTTCGAGAAGACAAATTTACGTACAGCAGTTCCAAGACTCCCGATTCGCGATGCATCACTCGCAAATAAAACCCAGCGTTCTTTCGTTTTATGATTGCATTATCTCGGGAAAGGCCGGATACTCGAGAATTTCGCTTTCTAAACGTGAAACGCCTCGACTACGATCAACTGTCCTTACCGAACTTCTCATTGTTTTCTTATCTCAATCGCTCTGCTCTCTCGCGCTCCACGCGATCCTCCCTTTCCCTTTCAATTTTCCAAATTCTCTGATAAGGGAGAAAGAGGACGAAAAAAATCCCATTGTTCAGGAGTTTTTTCAACTCGTTCTAATTAGATAGTGAAAGTCATTCGATGATAATTATCTGCTGTCAATGCATGCAGGAAATTCGTCTCAGTCTTTTGTTCCTACATCATTCCTTTGGAGAGGAGCAGGAAACAAAGACTGAAACAATCGAAACAGTCCTAGAAATTCCGGTAGAAGAGGCAAGGTCATAATAAAAACCATTAGACGATAACAATACTCAATTTATCGTCGTCAAAATATATCGTCTCGTTGCAATAAAACGAAAATTTCAGATAGCAAATTCAATTAAAAATTAAATGAGCTACAGTCGAGATCTCCCTTTTCACGTGTGAAAGAATTTCATAACAAAATCTAGGGAATTCTCTAGACAATTCTATTAAATATTCAATAGAAAATAATCTATAGAAAAAGTCAATAGACTTCAATTTTTCTCTGTAACTTATTCTACTGAGATATTCTCAAATTTCTCAGTTTTTTCGTTTTATTTTCTTTACAAAAAGATAAAAAATAGAGTAAAAAAAATTAGAAAATTGGAGCTGAGGAAATTTTACAGAAAATATTTCAATCTAATCCTATCGACTTTTTCTACAGAATATTTTCTATTGAACACTTGAATAGAATTGTCTAGCGAATTCGCTAGGTTTTTCCATCAAATTTTTTCGTGCGCGTTATCAGGAAATATTTTTGTTTAGTGGATCTTTACCTTTTAAACGCTAGGCGCATCTGAAATCCAAAATTTTGTTGAATTCAAAATTTTAAATAAAACTGTCAACTCTTTGATATCCCCTTTTTAGTGACTTATTTCACCAATTTGTTATTGTGACTTAACAATCTCCGCAATTCATGTTCATCTTATAAAAATCTTCGCGTTATCGCCTACGACTCGCGTCCCTTCAAACCGATCGATTCCTATCCACCAATTTTCCAACATTCCACCAAGCAAAAGGAGGACTCCGTTCTGAATCTCAATAAACAGCTGCCACGACCTGTCGTCCCGTAGAGAGTAACCCAGAATGCCCACGGTTAGCCGAGGGCGACTGAGACAAACTTCTCTCGCGAGTGTATACGCTGGTCAATCTTGTCAAGGTAAAAAGCCCGAGACGAAAAGGAAAAATTGAGAAATAACGATTTTCCCTCCACCGACGGACTATTCCAGATTGATTGAAAGATGCTGCATTAATCCCGCAACAGAATGTTAATGTCCCCTTCGATCGGTACTATTGACACAATTCCCCACATATCGATGTCTCAATCGTGGTCGGAATTCCGGATATTGTCTGGCCGAAAATAACTGGCCTTCATTTCTTATTCTGGGTGTGTCTCACGAGTTAGATAAAACTGGAAAAAATTCACCTAGTTGGGCCCCAGCGGTTTGCGTGGGCATATGGGCCCATCTTTCCGTTATAAACTGTCCCAAGGATTACGAAATTTGACGGGTGTCTACATTGTTTCCAGCATTTCACAAGAATAAAGTGAAATGTTCCTTTGGCATTCTCGGCATGCTTCTGAATCATCATGCATGAGCCACATTTGACCCCTGCTGATGTCTCGCGTCTTCTTTTTTTAATAAAACTAGGGTTAGGGAATCCCATGGAATGTAGGAGTCTGAAGTTAAGCTGTCATCATCACAGATGACTAATATTTATTACTTGTTCATATTGTTTTTAAGAGTGATTAATTTTTGGAAATAATGAAAGTTCTAATAGGATGCGGAGAAGGAATCGAAAGGTTATATATTGTTTTTACATTTTATCATAGGTAAAATATATACCGATGAAGTATCACTGTATTGAATTTTATTTTGTTGATTAGTCATGGAACCTCATGTTGTTGTTGGGGTTTTTCGAATTTTAGTCAATGATAATGTACTAGATTTGTCAAGAGCCCATGGAAGCCGCAACTGTCAGCGAAACGTCGCGATTTGCGAGCAAAATAATATCGTTTAAACTCTTCCAACATCCCTTTGTGTATCCTACCATTGTCATCCATGGAAATGAATAAGATCGTAACTTGTACTCAAGCTGTTTCCTCCTTCCAGAGTGTAAAATGCGAGGCGCCATTGGTGGACAGTAGCGCCCTGCCACTTGAGCACAGATCAGTGTACGGCCCCCCGGCTCAATACGGTCCCCCCGGTCACGGGGCCGAGGAGAATTGGCCCCTGGCCTCCCCCGACACCCCCCAAATCAAGCACCTCCAAGTCCAATGTGAGAAGACTCACATGCGAGTGAACATTGAGTTCGACCGTCCCTTCTACGGTATGATCTTCAGCAAGGGCTTCTACTCGGATCCCCACTGCGTCCACCTGAAGCCCGGAACTGGACACTTGAGTGCAACCTTCGAGATCTTCCTGAACTCCTGCGGTATGAGCAGCTCAGCCAATCACAATGTCGCAGCGTACGGCGCACCGACGCCGTCAGGAAGCTACGTCGAGAACACGATCATCATTCAGTATGATCCCTACGTCCAGGAAGTCTGGGATCAGGCCAGGAAACTCCGCTGCACTTGGTACGACTTCTACGAGAAGGCTGTGACGTTCAGGCCATTCCAAGTTGACATGCTTCACGCCGTCACAGCGAACTTCCTAGGCGACAATCTCCAGTGCTGGATGCAGATTCAAGTTGGAAAGGGTCCTTGGGCCTCCGAGGTCTCCGGCATCGTCAAGATCGGTCAGACAATGACCATGGTCCTGGCTATCAAAGACGACGAGAACAAATTCGACATGTTGGTGAGGAATTGCGTCGCTCATGATGGCAAGAGGGCGCCCATTCAGCTCGTCGATCAGTACGGCTGTGTCGTCAGGCCCAAGATCATGTCGAGGTATGTGCCCACCACAGATTCCCCTACGATTTGTGTCTCAGCTGAGTCATTCCTGATCATTTCCCCAACTTTCAGATTCCAGAAGATCAAGAATTTCGGCCCAAGCGCGTCGGTCGTCAGCTTCGCATACTTCCAGGCGTTCAAATTTCCAGACAGTATGAACGTTCACTTCCAGTGTGTCATCCAGGTCTGCAGGTACAACTGTCCTGAACCAAAGTGTGGACATCCAGGGCTCGAGTACGCGGGTGGAGCTGCAGGAATCTCGTCGGAGTACGGATCTCCAGTGCATCAGAGTCTTGGCTCGGAGTACGGTGCGCCGCCAGTGCCTGAATATGGAGTCCCACCTGCATACCCTGACCCCCGTCATCCCAGCGGACCCGCTGGTGCATACAGGTGAGCTCCAGCACCAATTCCGTAGAAACTTGAATTCAATCGACCGATTAATCATGCTTGTCGTCCTTGCAGCGAACCAAATCCCGACATAGTGCCAGCACCGCAAGCTCAAACGTCCTCGTCGTCGCCGAGCTCAACCACAGGGGACTCCCCAGCCAGCAGCTCTCCCCAAAGTCCTCAGGACAGCATTCACCTGCCGCCACCACCACTTCCTGGTCACCCTGCGGGAGCTTACCAAACGGTCAAGCGGAAGGGAACAGTCGGGCCTGATGAACTTGAGGGCAATCTGGCGACACTTGGGGGACGACCGAGGTCGGTTGAAGGCATGCCAGCTGAGTTGAGAGGCGCCAGGAGGCGAAGGCATGTGGACATCATCGAGATCGATCCCGTAAGTGGTCCAAATATTAATGATTCAATGATATCGATGATAAAGTAGTCACAAGAATTTTAATTTCTGTTTTAACTGATGAGGCATAAAGTTGTGGACCAAATTCCATGTGGTAATTGTGGTAAAGTTCATGTTGGTTAAACAATTTAATATTTTGGAGACAAAGAAGAACGCGAAAGGAATTGGCCAATCGTACGCACTATTGATCCCATTCTATCTTAGACATTTTGGGAATGTTTTTCATGGAAAAAGATCGTCACCACACGGTGGATGTATTAAGGATTGTGCGAAATCCTGGGAAATCATATGATCAATTAATTAAGTTTCATTAGACAGCAGTGACTCTTGCAGTCAAGGCCCTTGACAGATTAGAACTGAGAACTAACAATCTCATCAATCTCACGATTTTACTCTCCTCCGCAGAGTCTTTTCCACGAGATGACGGTGGTGTCGTCCCACGTGTACAAACGAGCAGCCCAGGAGATGACGGACGTGAACACGTCTCGAATAATTCAGGTAGTAGCTCCAGGAGACGTCAACTTCGCGCTGGGTGCGGCGAGCACGAGCAACGACACAACAGTTGTGATTTCGAACTCCTCGACCGATCCCGAGACGATCTGCATGTCGTTGCCAGGTTTCGTCGGTGGACTAGTGATGCTTCTGCTCGTCATCATCGTCGCCTCCCTCGTCGCAGCCTTCCTCTTCGTCCGGGTGCGAGCGGTCGACCGTAAAAATGCCACCGCCAGCAGTCCCTACGCACACGCCATCTATCCCCCAGACGCCTGCAACATTCCAAACACTGAATTCGTCAAAGTCGCCAATTGCTCATCATAATGTCGGATTAACGAAGAGAAACTCAGAGAGAGATGACGGAGGACGATTTACGACTGAGAACAAATCGTCCTGCGCGTCTTTCTCAAGATCATTGACACATACTTCATTGAAATCATTTAATTTCCATCTTGCGATTCAATTTGCCCTTTCAGAATTCTTCATGTAAATAAGATCTCGAGATTTGATGAAGAGTCTCGTAGAAACTCAAGCGAGAAGCGAAAGGAAATATTCAAAAATATTAAGATCATTTTCGAATGCGCTCTGCTCATCGACGAAGCACTCGTGACTTGACATGACTATCATCATGATTCAGTGGGTTTAGTTGATCGGCTGTTTTGTCATTGTGTCCGGCGTCTCGTCGATGAGCATCAGGCGTCGCTATCCTGGTGGAGTCAGTGTAAATAATTAGCAGGGCAGCTCAGCAGAACTCCACCAGGATGCCCAACGGGGCTACCCTGCCACCTGATTTTTACTTCAAAAATTATCATTACTCTAAATCATTTTGTCTCTTATTTATGTACTCACGTGAATACTATTCTATCGATTCTTCATACCTCATTCTACATCCTCGGTCTAGGGTACTTTGGCTTACTTCGAGGTTTCATTCAATTTTAATTTATTTATTTTTTTTGTGATTACGAATTGAAGGTCTACCTCGATGACGACCCAAAATACATTTTCAATTCTGTTTTTTTGGTCATTTTGAAGTGTCAACTTCAGCTGTATTCCTCGGTACTAATGCAATCGAGTCGCGGTATTTGGCAGCGAATACGAGACGAGATTGATGATAACTTAACTTATTTTTTTCTCTCTGTCACCATTCAGTTTCATTTCTACTTCTTCTCTTCAACACTTGTTGGTTTAAGTCATTACGACGATGCATATTCCCGGCGTGCTGGGAATACGGTTAATGTACGTGTCTTGAGTGCACGAAAATTTGATGAGCGCGCTGTAGGCGACTGTCGAAATGCAAAAAAATGGTACAGTAAGGTGGTCCGGAGGAGAAACACGGATTGAACGTGTTACTATGATTATTTTGATAATTAATATGAATATATTATAATTTTTATTTATGTGAGTGTTTGAGTTTTCATTTAATCCCGATCCTTTTGGCGAGTGGGTTTGGGGGTTTCGAGGAGGCGACGGCGTTTTCCCCCCATTTTTCTGATACTCCAGTATTCTTGGAGGATTTGTAGGAAACGAACGGATGACTTACTTCGAGGTTTCATTCAATTTTAATTTTTTTTTTTTTTTTTGTGATTACGAATTGAAGGTCTACCTCGATGACGACCCAAAATACATTTTCAATTCTGTTTTTTTGGTCATTTTGAAGTGTCAACTTCAGCTGTATTCCTCGGTACTAATGCAATCGAGTCGCGGTATTTGGCAGCGAATACGAGACGAGATTGATGATAACTTAACTTATTTTTTTCTCTCTGTCACCATTCAGTTTCATTTCTACTTCTTCTCTTCAACACTTGTTGGTTTAAGTCATTACGACGATGCATATTCCCGGCGTGCTGGGAATACGGTTAATGTACGTGTCTTCAGTTCACGAAAATTTGATGAGCGCGCTGTAGGCGACTGTCGAAATGCAAAAAAATGGTACAGTAAGGTGGTCCGGAGGAGAAACACGGATTGAACGTGTTACTATGATTATTTTGATAATTAATATGAATATATTATAATTTTTATTTATGTGAGTGTTTGAGTTTTCATTTAATCCCGATCCTTTTGGCGAGTGGGTTTGGGGTTTTCGAGGAGGCGACGGCGTTTTCCCGCCATTTCTCTGATGCTCCGGTATTCTTGGAGGATTTGTAGGAGACTGGCGGACGGCTCGCAGGAGTTCCACGCGTCATGGACGCGGGATTTTAAGTGGAGGTGAGGATCGCTCGATGTGTCTTTCAGGGATGAGGAGATGGGGTTCTTGTAGTTTACGTTGAATCCCAGATGGAACCTGAGAATGAGAATTTAAAGACATTCTTGATGTTCTTTTTCAAACGTTTCCCTTTAATATTTTACCGGACAGTTCTTCGACCGCAGAAAAACCGTAAATTGATATTCCTCCGATCCAAAATCCTCAGGCTCATGAATTCATTCAATCTTAGGCAAATCGTCTTCACAGCGGTCAATGACTCTATCCCTCCGCTCTCTCTAAGAGACTTATCATCATTATCGGAGCATTTATTATCAGAGCGTTCACCATTCCCCTCAGCAACTCTATGTTTACACATGTAAAAGGCAGATAGGATGAGATAAATTCGTGTCACAATCTTTTCCTCGATTGGGTGTAGAGTAAACGTAATAATTTTAACTAGAATTACAATAAAACTTCAAGAGAATTCTTACAGAGTTCCAATAGAAATTCAATACAATTCCTCACAGAATTTGGATTTTAAAAAAATCCTCAGGAAGCGATAGGTTTTTCTATTAAATTTTTTAGGACGAGTGCCATGGGGTTTTTTACTCGTGTGCAGTTGGCGTCCGTGCGAAGTCGCGGGCCCGCCAACCACCCGAGTAGAAAAACCCCACGCCACTAGTCATGCGCGATGTGTTTGTCTAGGGATTTTCACTTTTACAAGTTTAAGGGCCAGTGCCAATCCTCGGACGACAGAACAAACTTTTTTTCTCTTATTGTCAGCGATATGATAATCGTATTTTGAATGATTGGAGACAACCTTTTTTGCGGCTGCCCACTCGTCTCCAGGATCTTGAGTAGTCTCGCCGGAGCAGCCTCCTGGATAGAGAAATAACGAGTGCACAAATAATGAGTCATAAATCTTGAGTGATAAAGAAAAAGTGTGACAAGATAACTTGCGCTGAAGGCTATAAAACCAGTGTTTTCATAGCTGCACGATTACCGGTCTACTTGTCCTCACCGTGTAAGTGGAGCCCATTATGGGAGCATTCTTGCGACGATTCCAGGCCCATACCAGGGGCAACAATGCGCCTGGATTGTCCATATAAATACCGCCGATTTGATTGTAGGATAAACTGATGGTGATTTTAACCAAAAGTTTATTGACTTTCGCGGCAACAAAGTTTATGGACTTTCACAAGGATTTATTTTTCACTAACCGCATTTCTCCGTCTTCACTCAACACCAGGCCATTCCCTAGGGTATCGAAATGCCCGATCATGTGGGGGTCCTCGGGGACCCCGGGACTGTCTCAGCCACCGGGACTGAAAATAGTGTAGAGATCATCTAAAAAATTAATTGTAGGAATGATTTTTAAATCAATTGGAGGAGGTACAATTTTTTTACAATTTCTGTCCTCTGGCTTCTCGATTTTTATCGCGATATTTCCGTTGGGGTAATATACTTTCCCCCCGCGGTCTTCGTTGAGGAAGAATAGCCCGCCGTCCGGGTAAAAAAGCCGCGGAAAGCCTTTGTGCCATCTGAGGTGGGGCTTCGAAATTTCAGTTTCGTACAGGATGATTTTTATTGTCGATCTCGCCTTCGGTTTCTTCGTCCAACCTAATTGCACGTATTCTTCATTTGAAAGTTTGTACTCAATTGTATTAAGAGCTGTAGATGGTGAGCGGAAGTCCTTGATTGGTGGTTTTGTTTTTGGGAATTTTTCGAATGTTTTTTCGTTGGACGCGGCCATTATTTTTCGTCGGCATCGAAGTGAGGAGAAATATTACTGAACTTTAACCCCATTCTTCATCGATTTTTATTGATATGTCAAACGCCATCTGTGACAATGCCTCCGAAAGAATGTATAATTCAAATTTTTTAGCACTCGAATTTTTTTATTGGTCACCATATGAGAAGAGCCCTGCTGCGCGCCGTTTTTCTTTAATTACAATTGACCGGATAACCAGAGAAATAAAAAAAATTGACTTTTTCAATTGAAGTGTGTAAAAAATTATAGTAGTGTTTAGAACAACATGTTTCCCAGAATTCCTCAAGAAAGCAAACTATTTCGGACAGACGAATTATTTTTTCTCATGTTAAAGGAAATTCCCCAGGACGTAACGTTGCGCGCAACGCAACGCGAGAAAAACGCTAAACGCGCCCGGGCAGTGTAGAGTGAATTCGGCAGCGCTAAAGCCTAAATGACACGGCGGTGCCTCCCACGCTCTGTCTCATGCGCTCTTGCACTCTGGCACTCTCCCGCACTTTCTCGCAACTTGTCGCGCCCTCTCGCACTGTTTCGCACACTCGTGCACTCCCGCCCGCTCTCGCGCTTTCTCACCTAAGCTGGTTATTCAGAGATGAAATACCAACAGAATAAATATTCCAGCCGACAGTATGAACATTTAAATTAACATTTAAATAACAATGAAGTAAACTCCAAATTTTCACTATTTTTCAAAGTTTCAAGAGTGGCGCATCCACTCCTCATCAGGGCAATTTATCAATTAGTCTTAGTTTTCGATACTAAATATTCGTCTTGTTGTTAAGAATGTCCAAATATCTTTTACAGTTTGGTACAGATCGCACTATAGATTCAACCATTTTCAATTATCAAATTTGTCAATTAAATTGCGTGAGAAAAATTTGAAAAAAATCATGAATATTCAGCATCATTCAAATTACATTTTGCACAGAATTATAACTTTTTTAAACATTCGTTGTTTATAAATAAACAATTGAAATTGTTTAATCTTTCGGAAACCTTATTTTTTAGGCATGAAATCGATTTCTGGTAAAATGCTGAATATGAATAAATTTGTTACGATTCCGAACAAATGATTTTTATGGTGGAAAATTGATTGTTTATAAATTATTTATAGAAAATGCTCGTAACTTCCAAAAAATGCAATTTTTTAATTATTTCATTAATCTTCCTCTAAAAGTAAACTTTCTAATTCTTTTTTCAGATTTTTAAAATGTTTTTTAACGGTAAAATATCGATATTCAAATTCAGACCTGCAAAGTTTAAATAATAAAATTATTGTAAAATGTCCGGAAACTTGGGGTCAAATGGGGCTCAAATGAAATCTCTGATGGTCGACTAGAACAGTAGAAAAGTATTTCACTGGAGAAAAAATCGCCAAAGTACTTGGATATCCTTAAGGATTGACGCAAGCATCTTTTTTACAAGAGTAAATTTTTTTATGGTCAAATGCCATGAAACTTTGGCAAAACGTTATTTGAACTATTATAAAATGATCGATCTATCGCTCAGCTCTTCGTCATATTGTCAATATCGATTTTTTTGTTTTTTTATGTTTTAGTTGATATCGATTTTTTTGTTTTTTTATGTTTTAGTTGATATCGACAATATGACAAAGAGCTAAGGGATAGATCGATCATCTTATAATGGTTCAAATAACGTTTTGGTAAGTTTCATGGCATTTGACCGTAAAAAAATTTACTCTTCTGAAAAACTCCCGCCAAAATTGCTTACGTCAATTAACTATCGTGATGGTCGTGATTCGTTTATATTGGGGAGCCTTCCAGTATTCTAAATTTTCTGAAGCCCCCCGCCATCTACCGAAAACTACGAGAACCCAATCCTCCTCTCGATGGCAGCACTATCGACTAATCCATAAATCGACCTGCATTTTCGAATTCCGTGAGAACGATAGTGGACGCGTCGGCCTCGCGCGATATAAATACTCCAGTGGTCGATCGCGAATAAATAACAAAACGTAAGTCCTCAATAAATTACTTCACCCAAAAGTCTCAAGTACTTAAAAATAATTCGAATTCCTGATAGACTTCAAATTCTCGGAGATCATTCAACCTTCAACCGACAGTTTCTCTCACAATTCCTGGAAGGTCGTAGTACTCGTAGTGGAAGCAAAAAAGCGGGATCAGGTCACGATTTTAAATACCCCACGGCTCGATTAACTAATGCTCTCGCGTAACCCAGAATTTCGCGAATTCTCCTCCTCCAGGCGACCTGTTTCCGCTCGTTCGAAATAGGTTTGCAGTCGCATTCTATTTGAGGTTAGTTTCACAATTTGCGCGGCTATTCCGGACTATTCCGGGATATAATTGTACGACGGAGTACCAGAATATCCGTATAGTCGATCGATTACCTGTTATTACTATTAAATGAAAATTGATGTTTACAATAATTGTCTGCAATTTCTGTTAAGGAATCAACAACAAAAATCGAATAATAAAATTAAAAAATTAAAAATAATTATGAATCCAATTTGAGTTTTTTAAATGAACTTCGTAAATGTAAAGCTTTGAAAAAACATTTATGAAATAGAATGTTTAATTTTTGATGTGTGAAAAAATTTAATAAAAAAAATCTAGTGCTTTTTCGCAAAAAATATATTGAAATTCTACTTATTTAATTCATTTGTTTTTAGTTGTGCAATTTTGTATGCGATTTTTTTATAGATATTTCATTATTATCATTATAATTATTAATTGATAATTAATTATTATTACTGAAAAAATTCCAATAGAGAAATAACAAAAGAAAATCAATATTTTTCGTTTAAAAAATATGTATTGAGAAATTTTCAAAAGAATTTCGCGCAGAAAACATGAATTTTTTTTTGGTAAAAAATTCATAACTTAAATAACATTCACCCCTTTCATTCCATCTCTTGCATAAAAAAATTGCACTCAGACAATACGATCACACGACAAATTGTTGCGTGAGCGCATCAATTCCAATTTTATCCGGGTGTAATCCCAATGCCAGAAGCACAAAACCATCATAAAAAACCTCCAACGAAATCGTCCTTGACCTAGCGAAATCGAAGGGCAAAACGAATTTGCATTTACTCCCAGCAACATCAAACAAGGATACGATAATTTTGTTCACGTAGACGCCAACGTCCCCGCGACCTTGACATTCTTTCCTCGACGATGGACAACGGCATTAGATAAAGGCAACTGCAATTAGCCACGGGGAAATAGTGCAAAAAAATGAGTAAATTCATTTCGAATTTCGAGTCTCGAGATGTGACGTAGCCATTACGCAACAGTATCACCGGCTCTGTAAATATAGAAATTCAAATTTAGTCGCGTTGGAAGAATGTTTTATTTATTTTTTCATATTGAAGAGGTCAAAAGCGTCACGAGTCAAGCGAATTCGTCCAGTTGAAGGGGAAAAATCCGAGAGGAAAAATAAAAAGGGGTGTGAGACCCGCCTACGAGACAACTTGGTGATGAGCCGAGTGCGGGGTATGACGCAACGTACGAATAAACGAGTGTTACTCGCTATCACGTACTGATTGAAGCCTCAGTCGGCTCAACACCGTCGCCCGCACAGGGCGGGAAACTGACCTAAGACCTATTCCCCGTTGACAATTAGTAATTCTGAGTGAAATTATCGGAAAGGAGTGAAGAAATGGCGCTCTACGACTGCCTCTGCAGAGGCCCAATTGCCCTGAATGGTGAGTACGAGAGAATCTTCGGGTTCTTGACCCTCGAACACGTGGGTAAAGCGGGGTTGCGAGTTCATTGAGACGCGGGCGAGGGCCGCGGTAACAGGATGCAACGCCAATCACGAAGAATAGCTTTTCATTCCACCGAGGCTGAGTTATTCAATTCAGGGAGCTGTCTCGCGTGATCGGGGATGAGTTGGTCCACTCGAGAGTTATTTTAGAGTTTTTTGAAGGGAAATTGTTGCTCTGGGGATGGGAAATTGGAGTTTAGGGAGAATTGGCGCGTTGGGGATTTCGTTTTTGTTTGTTAGGCGCACTAGCTGATAATTGTTGAAGTGTAAAGCTGAATTATGGAAGAGGTTTATGGCTCTCGCGATTGGCGCGGGATTATCGCATGTTGAGGGATGAAGGTCGTCACAGTTTTTTAGGATAATTCAGTGTTATTTATAGATATGCAAGTTCTTTGGCTTTTTTAATGATTTAATTAGATGTCGAAGCGATAGAAAACACTTTCAAATTACGTTTGAAGGAGGATCGATGAAATAATTTGAAAATTGCACTTTTTGAAAATTGCGAGCATTTTTTATAAATAATTTATAAACAATCAATTTTCCACTATAAAAATCATTGCTTGGAATCGTAACAAATTTATTCATATTCGGAATTTTTACAGAAATCTATTTCATTCCTGAAAAAATAAGGTTTCCGAAAGTTTAAACAATTTCAATTGTTTATTTGCAAATAACGAATGCACGGAGAGAAATGTTCAGTAAAAATTACGGAACTCACAATTTGCTCACCGATTACGGAATCGACTCAGAAAATTTAAGTGACGGTATCGTAATTTTTCATCGGCGATTCAGATCAAAATTACGGAACACTCTGGAAAAATTCCGTGACAGTTCCGTAAAATTTCCTACAACCACATTTCACTCTGATATTACGGAAAAAATACGTAATTTTTATTGAATATTTCTCTCCGTGTATTTGAAAAAATAATAATTCTGTGCAAAATGTTATTTGAATGACGAATATTCATGATTTTTTTCAAATTTTTCTCATACAATTTAATTGAGAAATTTGATATTTGAAAATTGTTTGGCTTTGGCTATTTTTTCTCCATTGAAATGCTTTTACACTTTTGTAATCGATCATCACAGCTTTCATTCGAGCCCCAGTTTACCCCAAGTTTCCGGATATTTAACAATGAATTTGTTATTTAAACTTTGCAGGTCTAAATTAAAATCTTGATATTTAATTATTTATGTATAAACAATGAATGTTTAAAAAAATAAAAATTCTGCGCAAAACCTAATTTTAATAACATTGAATAGTCATGATTTTCTTTTCAAATTTTTCTCACATAATTTAATTAACAAATCAAACTCTAAAAACTCTAAAAAATATTTGGATATCCTTAAAGGACTTGTTCAATCTCCAATAATAATTTTCAATCTCTGATCTTCATTTTTAATATTCAATTATGTTTTACTTCATCATTTATTTCATTCTAAATTATTTTTGACAATGTTATTACATTAGACTCCCTGGAGGAGTCATTGTTTTTGAATTCTCGGAAATTCGCAAAATAAAATACTGAAAATATGAATTTACGATGGGTAGACATTTAGTCTGCTCCTGATCGTCACGGAGAGAGGTTACACTTTTATTCTGGTAAAATAAGTTAAAATTTGATTAGTTAGTTGATCGAGTGAAAATTTAAATGAATTGAAAAATGGATCCACATGACAATAATTAATTATCAATAATAATTCATTAATTTTTATTTTTATTGGTCATTATAATATCATAATTGTTCCGATAATTATTATTATATTTTCATTTTTTCATCAATAAAATAAAAAGAAAAATTCAGTATTTTTTATTTTATCAATGTCGATTCTGAGGAAGGACGCCCGGAGTAAGCGCGTGATGGTGGAAGGTGAATACAGTCGCATTTCCCGAATTCACTACCCCAACAGCCCCTTGAGTGTGACTCTAACTGGAGTCTACTGTATTTCGCAATATTATTTTACCTCTAAATAATATTATTGAGTAATTCTACTATATTTACAAAGATAAATAATGCAATGCGAATAGTCACACAGGATTACAATTTAATTCCCGAGAATCAGAGTCAACTCTATATTTCTTTATCAAAGTTGACATTGGCCCCTAGCAATACCAGGGGATTATATATTCATTACGGAATGATTATGTCATTAACCAGCTGCATCTCACCAGCTTCCGGAATCTTTGAGAAAACACCTTGGGTTTACGTAATGCTCGGTCGATTGGATGATAATTGTCGATGGGGGGTTTCTGATATTTTTACAGCGGCGATTATCAATTTGTGCCACATTCCATATCCTCGGGGCTCGCCGGATTACGCGATGGGGAACGATAAGGAGTAATCTGATTCAATGTAACATGACGGCAGGATCTCCAGTCGCTTCTTGATCGATTAATATATCTGTTTACCACTCTGGCCTTGTCGCGGAGAAACTCGACGTCTCGCCGAGAATTGTTCACTTGCGCATTTAAATGAATGGGTAATTGCAATACACCCACTAGGTTTTAATAAAAATTGGAAAGTATTCTATAGAAATATCAATAGAATTCGATTTTTCTGGGGAAATTATTCTATTGGGATATTTTATATAGAAATTTTATATAGAAATTCCTCGACTCAATTTTTTTTAATTTTTTTGTTGCACTTTTTTAATGAGAAAAAAATTTTTGAGTGGAAAAAATTCGGAAAATTCAGGTCGGCGAATTTCTATAGGAAATGTTTCTATAGACAGATGAAATTCTAATGATTTTTTTAAAAATAGTTTCAATTTAATATTTCTTATAAAAAATAAGTGCATTAAAGCTGCGGAATTCTTCAATAGAATCGGCTAAAAATTAATAGAATTCGATTTTTTTAATATAACTTATTCTATTGAGATATTTTATATAGAAATTCCCTGACTCAATTTAAAAAATTTTTTTGTTTCGTTTTTTTAACGAAAACAAAATTTTAAGTGGAAAAAACTCGAAAAATTCAGGTCGACGAATTTTCATAGAAAATATTTCTATAGAAAGATGAAATTCTACTGATTTTTCTTATAAAATGGTTTCAGTTCACCATTTTTTATTTAAAAAAAATGCGCAGTAAAGTTGTGGAATTCTTTAATAGTAACTGACCAAAAATTCATTGAATTTTCAATAGAATTCGATTTCTCTATACAATTTATTCTATTGACACATTTTCTATAGAAATTCCCCGACTCAAAAATTTCAAGTTTTCTTTGATATTTTTTTTTATGAAAAGAGAAGAAAAATAAATAAAATGAAATGAATAATCAAAATAAAATAAAAATTCCTATATAAAAAGTCTAGAAAACCAAAATTCCACTGATTTTTTCTATAAAATAGTTTCTATTGGCCATTTTTATAAAAATGCGCAAAAAAGCTGCGGAATTCGTCAACAGAATCAAACAAAATAAAAACTACTCAACACATGAACTAATCCGCTAAAACAAGTAACCAGAAAAAAATGAGTTTTCACAATTCGAAACATCATTCTTTTCCTCAATAATAACATTTTTCCTCCGTCACACACTCAAGGCAACCGGCTGCATAAAATCGACCGGGTAATTAAGGAAAATTGGATACTCGTCCTCACGCTCGTTTCGTCTTCAATTTCCACGCGAATGTTCACAACTGTAATCATACATCGGTGATCTAGGCCTTCGTACCGAGACAATCCACATCTCCACATCGAGTTATTCAGAGTCTATTCTCACGATACGAAAAACTGCGGGATGATAATGTCGAGAACAATCCATTGTCCGGTTTTATTGCGAGGAATAATTCACTGTGGATCAAGAGGAATACCCCACTGATTGAAATTGGGTGTCATCCAATTTACTCTCATTGAGGGGATTGAGAGAAAAAAATAGCTGCGATTTTGTGCTCTCACCGGGGGGAAGTAATTCAATGGAATGCTTCGGAATTCTCTGGGTGGATCCATTCATCCGTCATACTGGGACTATTTTATTGAGCCATTAACCCGTGGGAAGTTCAACTCGGCGTAATTTTATATTAGATTAAGGAGAATTATGAATATAACTGATGAACGTTGATGAAACGTTCAACACGATATTTTTTCGTTGAGGACATTCTCGTAGTTTAATTATTTTTCACGGCTTCTGTTCACTCTTTCATCATTTTTCAGTGATATTTATTTATTCATAACTTATTTATTTATTTTTATCTTTAGATTTCATATCTATTAATTGTTGTAGAATATTTTTAGGTTTTTAATTAATTTCTGAAAGACAAATAAAAAAATATCTTTTTTTTCTTAATTTTTTTCTCGCATTTTGATTGACAAATTTGTCCTTAGGACTGCGTGTTTTATCTCGTTTTTTCCATGTTTATTTTGCTTATTCATGCTCGTTACTCACGGTCAACCACTTATTATCATAGAATTATCTCATTATGGAATGCGGCATTGTTGGAAAGTCTATAGTTTTATCTTTTTTATCGTGGATTTTGATTGTTTATTCATCTGATGCAGAATGGTTGCGACTCAAAATACCCAGGAGGGCTATTCTGGGCATCCTCATGTTCCTCGCCTGTATGTTCTCGTACTTCATCCGCACGAATCTGTCGATCACGATAGTTGCGATGGTGAAAAGTGACAAAGGGGGGCCGAAGAAGGAAGCGTACTGCACCGAATTGCTGCATCAGTCTAATAATATAACTTATGTTCCCAAAAACATTTCAGACGTGAGTATGATCTGGTCTCATTGTTTCACTGGTTGTAATTTAGGTTTGGAAAATTTCGAAAATGAAATTTCAACGAAAACTTTCGTTTCAAGTTTATGATTTTTCATTCGTATTTCTTTTTGATTCGTATTGCTTCCATCAGTTTGAAAATGAATTGGAGATGGGAAGGATGCATTTGAATTTCAATGAAATTATTAATAGTCTCATTCTCAATTTTTTTCGTTCTTAAAAAAATTAGTGAATTTTTCATTTCAAGTTTGAACTTTATGATTTTTTATTCTCATTTCTTTTTTATTTTTATTGTTTCTATCAATTAAAAAATGGGGATGTACTTGAATTGTTTTAATTTAAATTAAATTGTTAATAATCTCTTTATTTTTTGTTCTTAAAACAATTGATGAATTGTTTAATTCAAGTTTGAACTTTATGATTTTTCATTCGTATTTCTTTTTGATTCGTATTGCTTCTTTCAATTAAAAATTGACTTGCAGGTGTGAAGGATGTACTTTAATTGATTTAATTGAAATAAAATTATTGTTAAAATCATTCTCAGTTTTTTTCGTTCTTAAAAAAATTGATGAAATATTTAATCCAATTTTGAGTTTCATGATTTTTTATTCGTATTTATTTTTCATTCGTACTGCTTCTCTCAATTTAACCATGAATTAAAACTGCAATATAAAGCATTTACACAATGAATTTAACTTAAACAAAATTATCAAAAACTAAGATAGAAAAATTGATAATTTTGCTATTTCAAGTTTGGAGAGCGATACGAATGGAACGAGAGGATACAGGGCTTCATCCTGGCATCTTACTTCGTGGGGCCCGTGTTAGCTAGTGTACCCGCTGGAATGGCAGCTGAGAGGTTCGGCGGTGCACGAGTGGTTGCGTAAGTGTTGATTCTTCATGAAACAATATTTGAACTGTTTGTTTTCGGGTAAAAATTGGATTATCACCCGCGTCACACTCCAAATTTACCCGAAGGACTACTTCACTGTTTGACGAGAGAATAATGACAATTAATGAAAACTTTTTTCAATAGATGGGCAACATTAATTCCCGCAGTTTTGAATCTACTGACACCACTGGCGGCTGGCCTCCATTGGTCTGTTGTCATGATTCTTCGGTTTTTGATGGGATTCTCGGGAGTAAGTAGATTTCATAATTTTTTTATGAGTGGTAACTCGAGATTCGTCATCTATTTCAATCGTTTTCGTGTTTTGGATCGACTGAAAGTCATTTGAGTGGAATCAATTCCAATTTTTAGCATTGTGAAATTAATAAATATCAAATTTCTGATGAAAAATCATGAAAATTTAGTCCTTTTACCTCAATTTTGCAATTTACAGGTCTGTTTCAATGGCAGAAAATATTGAAATTTCATAAATTATTAGTTGTTAAATTAAAAAAAGAAAATTTCCCTCTATTTTGACGTTTCCAACATTGTAAAATTACTAAATATTAAATTTCTGTTGAAAAATGATGAAAATTCAGTTCTTTTACTTCAATTTTCAAATTTATTTGAATTTTTTCATGACAAATCTATTAAAACTTCATATCAATTGTTGAATTTAAAAAAATCAACAGGGTACGCTTCATAATTTGGATACTATTTAAATACAGAAGAGATTGTAGACATTTCCAACAAACCATTGAATATTTTTCGGAATTTCGTACAGGGTTGTTCAGCGAATCCAGTTATCACTAAATTCATTCGCCCTTCAAGCACCTAAATCCAATAATTCAGTATCAATGAGGCAGAAGTGACTGCAATTCATGTGCTCCACTTTCACAAGTGCATTGGACCGAGTGGATTGAGCCCAATGACGCTCATATTGTTGACTTAGCTGACCCGTGTGTAGATTACGTGATACAACTCGAAACATTTGCTTTTAATTTCCAGTGCGCTGTCTACCCAGCTTTGCACGCTATGATTGCCAGATGGGTGCCTCCTCAAGAGAAGGGAATGTTCGTGTGGACTATGCAAGGTGAAACATCCCTTCAAAATCGATAATTTTTGCATTTTTAAAAATTTTATAGGAGCAATATTAAATTTTTTTGAAATTTTGCTGAAAATTCAATTTGACGTAGAATAAAGAATAATGAACATATTTTCAAACATGTGATGGAGAGATTATTAGGGTACACCATGAAATGCTTCATTCCATTACACAATTGCTCATTATTAATTAATCATCAATTATTAATTTATTTATTCTAATTCATGTAAATACAGTATTCATGATTTTTTAAAATCGATCTCAGAAAAATGAATGAACTAAATTGTGGAAAACCATCGCTAAATATCAGATTTCACTCAAGATGTAATGAAATTCTTAATTTTTTAATCACAGAAAGACGAAAATGTTCAAAATTACAGTGAATTAGCATTTTCAGTGACGAAATTCCTTGAAATTTCAGCTAAAAACGTTTTAAAGTCACACCTCTCATGAATCCAACTTTAAACGGATACGAAAAAATACCTTTACAAAAAACCAAGTAAAGATAACAATTAACAGATGATTAAAAATACTACGACGAAGATGTTTTCACCTAACTCTCCTCATGAACATCTTAATGTTCTCATAAAAATGGTCTCTAGCCCCAAATAATGATTGATAACCGTAGAGAATGGCCAGCCCTAAAGGAATTTCCACCCCAGGCTACAATAAACCTCTTTCACTCGAACAATTCTTCAGGTGGGCCGTTCGGCACGTTCGTGACGCTCTCGCTGTGCGGCGCTGTGATCTCGGCGTTCGGTTGGAAAGCGGCGTTCTACACAACAAGTGGTCTGATGCTGGTGTTCTACGTCCTGTGGGTGTGGCTGGCGTACGACACCCCGGACGACCACCCCACAATAACCCAGGAGGAGAAGACCTACATAAAAGAAAAGATAGGCACGTCAGTGAGCAAGCAGAAGGTGAGCCTCCCCCTGAGGCACATGGTGACGTCCCTCCCGTTCCTCGCGCTCATCTACGCCCACTTCGCCAACATGTGGGGGATCTACTTCATCTCGACGAACGGCCCCAAGTACAGTCTCGAGGTTCTGGGCTTCAATATGAAGAAGGGCGGCTTCCTGACAGGACTCCCCTACATCGCGAGACTGGGGGCTGGGGTTCTTTTCGCTGCTGGTGGGGACTTCCTGCGACGCCGGGAGATCATCAAACTCGTCTGGATCAGAAAGCTCTTCATGATCTTCTCGCACGTCGGTCCTGGCCTGGCACTGCTCATCACGACTTACGTCGGCTGCGACAGGAGCACAGCGATCGTCATGATTATTGGAGCTCTAGCTCTGAATGGCGCTGCCTGTCAGACTAGTCTCCAGAATCATCAAGATCTTGCGCCCAATTATGCTGGGTCTTTGTACGGGGTCATGAATACTATCGGAAGCTTTCCAGGGTTCATCATTCCGCCGGTCGTGGGGGCGCTCATCTACGAACAGAGTGGCGTCTACCAGTGGCGCATCATGTTCTGGATTTCAGCTATTGTTTTCTTCTCTGCTACTGCTCTGTTCTGGATCTTTGGCTCTGCCAGCATCCAACGGTGGAATGATCTCAATGCCAATCCTGATACTGTTACTAATGGGGTGACTAAGGACGAGGAGAAACAGCTCAATGATCTCGCCAAGGCGCCTGTTCAGAGCGAAACTGAGGATGAGAATGAGAAGCTTTGATCGGAGGGAGATGCTCTGCAGGGAATTGGGAGGAATTAGGGTGAATCGTTGGATATTATGCTGGGGGGGTGGGCATTTGATGAGGAATATTTTTGATTCGTGATTCGAATATGAATATATTTCTTTTGAATTAGGAATGAAATATTGGGGGTCAAGTGTTTTTTCGATAACTGGGCGAAGAATATTGGGAAATATGTTTTTTTAGTTGATGCGAGGGTCACGGATGAAAAAATTTAGTATTTTCTATCGAACTCGCAGGGTTTTTACACGAAATTCTGTCGTAAGAATTGGGTATTCAGCAATAATACTCATTTTGAAATTGGGAGTGAAACACCATCGAATGAATCCTCCCACAAAAAATTATTTTCTTCAATAATTTGTGATCGCGATTAATATCCCAAGGTTGACACAATTCTTCTGGAAAATTTCTCTTTGCCATACTCTAGGTGTAAAGTCGTAGCACTATTATAATAGGGTAATTTGATCGGGGGTTGACGCCATCAGCTAACGAAATTTATCAGTTTTCTTTTTTTTTAAAGTGGAAATAGTTCAACTCCATTTGAAGAATCTCAAGAAATAATGATTCGAAATTTGCAAAATCCAGTAGAAGGATATCATCAATCATAATCAGATGAATATGGTACAAAATAAGTTTCTGTGGAGTCAGAAGATATATCAATATTTTTCTGGAATTTAGCAGAGTCAATAGAGTATAAATATAGTGACTCGTGTGCAAATGAGGATCAATAAACTCAATGAATGTAATTAATTTTCATTGTGACAAGCACCACTGATATTCATTAGAGAAAGAAAATTCTCAAAAATGCCGGACAAAGGCGTATCTGTAAACTCTCTTCGAATGCCTACTTATTTTTTTAAGTATTTATGAACAATTCTTATTCATATCTGTCGACTGATTTTTTATAAAATCGACTGATGTGTTTTTAAAAGAATAAATAAAATTTCGTTTATCTGTAAGACTTGATGCCAAATATGGAATTGTCTGCTCAATGACATCAAATATTCTCTTTTTTTTGTAAACGTCAGAGTTTTTTTTACTGCTCAGCAGCATCACAAAAGTAATGAAACATTCTGGTAATTTGGATTTTTTTTAAAGGAACTGACACAATATTTGCATTTAACTGGCGAGAGAACTAACTTCTCATGCTTCATCGTTGATGAAATTCAAGTCAATGTGAAATGAATGATTATTTACTTTTGTCATTTTTTGTGATGTTTATCAATGTATTTAAAATCAGTGCGATAATAAATATAGCCGTAATTAAACAGTCTTTATTATTCATCATTTGGTGCGCTTGGATTCTATCTGCATTTCGAGGGAGAGGATCTTCAATTTGTTTTGAATTTTATCGTTGAAAAAATCGCAGATGCACTCGTCGCTGCCTGGGGGAGTGTAATTTGTGCAAACATAAGGCTTTTGATTTTTGCGAGAGCTATGCGGGACTATTTCCGGGAACATGTGCTTGGGATTTTCGATGGCGTTCGAGAAGCCGGGACACGTCTCTCGGTTGCAGAAGGTGCTCTTGAGGACTTGGAGGGCTTCGATCGTCGTCTTGGGTATGGGGATTTGCGATTTTGAGGATTTGCAGTTGCTTTGGGATTGCTTTGTCGAGGTGGTGGATTTACTCCCTTTGCTGGGGGTCTCCGGGAATACCCAGGCGTCGGCTAAGGCTGCGTCGATCACGCGGGACCAACCACTTGTTGATTCTGAAGAATAATACGTGATTTTATTTCATTTTTTAGTTAAAATTCATAAACTTCAAGTTAAAATTCATAAACAATTAGACGCAAGAATAATACGTGATTTTATTTCATTTTTTAGTTAAAATTCATAAACTTCAAGTTAAAATTCATAAATTTCACGTTAAAATTCATAAACAATTAGACGCAAGTCTAGTGTGCGAAAGGTTGTGAGTTCGATTCCCCGTGGAACCGAATTTCTCAACGGAAGGCTCCGGCGAGCGGGCGGTTGCTAATAGAGGAACATGCCGCCTGTACCGGCATGGGTTTTCTGTGGTTTCTCCATGCTACTTCTATGTTCTATAGAAGTGCGAATGCAGTACAGTGTAGAATCCACAGCCGCATGCATAGGGTTAGATAGAGTGCCGAATGGGACCCGAAAAAGGGACTCCGAGGCCGTAAAAAAAAAAAATTCAAACTCGAAATGAAAATAACATAAAATAAGAAAAAAAAAGGTCAATAGAGATTTAAGATGTTTTCGATGGAAAAAAAAATTACTCAAATGCGGGGGAATCTGTGTCCGATGAATTATTTGCCAGAAAGGATGGAAAAATCTGAAAGATAGCTCAAAAGAATTGTTCTTTTCGTAGGATTAAGATAAAATGAGTTGAATATAATATAAAGGCGGTGAATGGTGTCAAGAAATGTTTAAAAATTCCAGGTGGAAGCGCCGCCATCTTAACGGGAGGGCGGCAAGATGGCGACGACCACGCACTCAACCACTTCGTATTTTTGATCATTACTAAGAATTACTCATCATCTTCAATTCATTTTTAACTCGTTTCATCCGATTCCTGCAAAAAGACCAATTTTGTCGAGTTATCTTTCAAAATTTTCCATCCCTTCGTATTTCAGTATTTTTTTTTTCACTTCTGAAACCTCTCAGGTAGTTGCATTCACCTGCAACTTCAAGTTTTTCCTCTGCATCGACCATACAAGGGCATGGCTCATACGAACTCAAGGATTCGGTTGACGTTTCGGTCCCAATAGACGAATTAATTTGAACGCCGATTTCCGGGGGAGAACACGGTCGCTTCATGTCGGGAGTGGCTTCAGCAGGATCCATAACCACGTAACACGGTTTGTACGCTAACAGGATATCCTGCGTTCGGAGCAACTTGGTGTCCTTCTTCGGGGGCTCCTCCTCCCCGACCAAGCACCACTGGCACTTGGACTGGGTCGGACAGACGCAACACACGACTTCCTTATTCTCCTGGAATTTACGGAGTTGGGGGACACCTGCTAGACCCGTCTGGGTCCACGCGTCCTCCATCTCTTTTTTCTTCGGCATCGACCTCAATAATTTTCGCTTTCTCAGGGCGAATATTTGATCGATTGGGGGACCTTAGGAGATGATAAAAATTTAGATGAAATAGATTTTATCATCACGTGTGCAAAAATTTTTACACGCATGAAAAAAAGAGAAAAAAATTTATATTTAAATTTATAATCCTGCAATTTCACTGCACATTATTTGAACAGAAAATGTTTAATACAACTGTTCTTTAAACCTACCCTGAGAGACATTCTGAATATCATCTAACTTCTTCCCAATAACACAACTCTTCTGAACAACTCTATCAACAACGAACTTCGCGGAGTCCCTAGCATCCGCCGCAACATTTTCCGCAACTCTATCCAACATACCACCGACTATCGGCAGAATCATGGCAGCAGCCTGCACAGGATCAGAAATAACCGATCTCCTCAGCGTCTTCAAGACCTCATCGTCCTTAGCTTCAAACGGTCGACCAGACGCCAGAGTCTGAACAGCTTCATCCCTCAACGGCAGATGAACAAACTCACTGCACCTGTCGATAATCTCATCCAGAAGATCATCAATGAAGATTCTGTTGTGAACTCCAGCATCGATCGACCTTTCGAGCAGGTCCTCAACGAATCGTTTGACCTCGAGGTAATCATCAAGGAGCTTCGAGTTGGATTTACTCGGCTCCAAGGTCATACTCGTCTGCCCTTCGAAATCAATCATGAATCCCTTTATGCGGTTGTTGTATTTTATGGTCGTTTGCACTTCCACGTCTTGTGTCTCGACCATCACTTCGGGATCGGTGTCTGCGATCCAGATGGTCCGGTCGATGATGAAGTTTATGAGATCTAAACCCTCGATCTTCGGGGATTCATCCTCGGTGGCACTGACCATCAGCTGAGGGTCCCTCTGCTCTTCGTCGGTGATGTCTGCTAGGAGACCTTTCAGAATTTCATGTTGGGGAAGGTCTTCTAGGACTGTGATGATCGTCTGAGCGAGCTGACTCTTCTTGAGTTTCGGGAGCGTCTTCTTGTTGAGGACGTCTATTTAAGAAAGGATAACTCCTTTTTTTGACGTACGAAAACGAATAGAATTCGATTCTCCGTACAACTCATTTTATTGTGATATCTTCGGTAGAAATTCCTCGGCTCAAAATTTGGCTCAAAGATTTTTAATCGATGTCGCAATGAAAAGAGGAGCAAAAAAACGGAGCAAATAGAGAACTTTTTACAATTAAGGATGTTTAGCCATTTTCAGGAATAACTTCATCTCTCAGTTGAAAAAAAAATCAATTTTTTTGAATACTTGCGATTTTGGATAAACATCCTTAATATCACGAGAAGTTCATAAAAGGTTACAAGGGGGTTCAGACTCACTGACGATAGTCCTAGCTGTCTGTCCAGGAGGAGGTGGGCAGTTTCTCCCAATATAAAGCGTTTGAGTAGCTTCATCTTGATGAGAAATCACGTACTCAACCTTCGGAATTCCTTTCATGTAAGTTTGACATTCCGACTCCTGAAATTCCGTCTTCTCCAGCTCACGAGGGTCTATGAAGTCGCGGGTTATTTTCACCAGGGTTTCTCTGTGCGCGATGTTGTCGGTATCCAAAATGAGTGGCGTCTCTTCCGGTGCTGATATGACTGTTGTCTCTGTGATTTCCCGGAGGTAGCCATCCTCCTCTGGAGTGATTGTAAACAGGGTTTGCGCCCATGTGTCATTTTCCATCGGCAGCCGCGGCTCAATTTGGGAGAGAGGTGCAGTGCAAGGTTATGAATAACATAGATTTGGAATTGTAGAGGAATTTGAGTGAACTTCAATTGTTTTTCAGTTTATTTACAATAATAGGAGAACGAAATTACAATGGAGAACGAGTTTGATCGTCAGTTATTTTGAGTATTTTGATGTTCATTGGAAAAATTTTGAATTTACATTTCTCGTTGTGAGAAAAGACACAATTGGCCTTATGATAATACACTATTGAACGGAGATGATAAAGGTTCGAATCTCCATCGGCCGGAGAAGAACAGTAATCGTTCCATTGATCACAGGTAATGATCCATTCGGCTTTTGAAATTCTTCATGAATTTCATTTGAATGAATCACCCACTCTAGGCGACGCATGTCCCCAATCCACTGATTAGCCCCCAGAGTGGTCTCCCTAACTTCTTTGATGACCAAATTCGCGAAGAGACCCTGGAAGAACCCGAAGAATGACGCAATAAATGTTAATTATATTTTTCCGCAAAATACAGAAGTCACTGTCTAGTAAACCTACCAGAAGATTGACTTCAACGGGCTTCGAGAGTTCCTTCGCCTCTTCAATCTCGAAAATGTGTTCCAACCTCAGAAGAATCTGGCCCTCCTTCCACGGTTCCAACGTGAGAATGTGGACATTAGGTGGCAAGTTCGTGCTCAGTCCTTTGAACTGCAAATTAAGGGCACCCAAAAAGAGAACGATTGCTGTCCGCAAAATTGGTTGAGAATTAGATAATCTTGTAGGTTCCTACCTGCATGTGATGACTAATTTTCCACTCAGCAAAGGTCACATTCTCCGCCGGAGTGATGAAGACCCAAGGTCTCAACGCAAGGCCCTTCGCCAGCGCCTTCTCCCTCGCGGTAGAAGCATCAAGATCCACCAGACTACTCCCCACAAGATGATGCACTCCCCTCGCAACAACACCGGTTCCAAAAGCCTCTTCATTCAGCGCCTCGCCGACGCCCAAACGATCATCTTGGAGTAGTCTCCTATGCAGCATCACCTCCAGCTCCCCATCGTTGATGCTGCTGCCCCCCTGGGCCCTATCATTCAGCACACTCAGTCTCAATTTCTTACCTTCGTCCTCCAACGATATCTTCGTTGTCACTGGGTAGTAATTGGCAGCCACCGGCTCCAACAGCAGACTTATATTCCAAGTCGGCCTCGAGTTCCTGACCCTTTTCATCATCTCTCTTCCGTTGCTGTCAGTAAAGAAGCTTCCTTTGGACTCAAGATTGCTCGAGTACTTGACAACGACCTCCTTAGAGACGTTGTCGTCCACCGGGATGGGCCCAACCATCCACTCGACCTCGACTTTCTCGTCCTTATCGTAAACCCGGACAACCTCACTCACGTAGTCGTTGACCGTCAGATGCAGCTCCTCGACGAGAGCCCCTTTGTAGAACTTGAAGGATCCGTTGTAGCTGAAGCTGTAGAGGGTTGAGTTCTGCGGCCGGAAGAGGTAGGCTCCAGACGAGTAGTACTTCTTCCCTCCGTTGTAATAGTTCATCGACTGGATGACTCTCAAGTCTTCATTCTTCCACTCTATCATGACATTCCCGTTGTCGTGGACCGAGATGTTGTGGGCCCTTCCTATCGAGGAGACTTCAGCTTCAGGCGTGATGTCGTCAGCCACATTTTCGCCTGCTCTCTCAGTGATGTGGTAGGATTGGTAGCCAAGTGGGGGAAGGTCAGCTGCTCGGAACACCAGTTCTCTAGATGCGCTGCTGTTCCGTCCGGGGATTTTGGAAACTGGAAGCGGAATCGGGACCAATTGATTCAGGACTTCGACTCCGAGGTGATCTTTGATGGTGTAGCTCTTCCCTGTGACCGGCAGACGAACGTAAGTTGATGACGGCTGACTCCGAGGGTTGTACAGCGTCAGGACGAAGGTCGTGGAGTTCTCCGTAGGCGCACACGCGCTGATGTTCAATGACAGACAGCTTTCGAAGGGGTCCTGCTTCCCCGGAGGGTCTCCTTGAGCCGACAGCTGAGATATCGAGCTCGAGGTGATGTTCCCCCCTCGGGTTATCCCCTCGTGCAGGAACTTGGCGTAGTCGTCAGCCACGTGCTGCTTCTCCGTTCCCGTTATGGCGTCGTGGTGCTGCATGACGCCCATCACCTCTCGGAAGAACTGCAGGTCTTCGCTGTCTGCTTGCTTCGACAGGACTGTCAGCTGCTTCGCGACTTGTAGGAAGTTGTTTCCGAGTCGCTCGAAGTATTTCAGGGTCGGACGGGAGGTGTAGTAGCCCGTCCAGAAGGAACGCTCGTTGTGGCTGTAGGGAAAGAAGTCGTCGGACTTTGTGGTCCAGGTTTTGTTGGCCTCGTTCAAGGATTTCGCGTAGCAGGATGGCGTCGAGTAGAAGACGTTGACGTCCTTGCCGTACAATTCGTTCGTGTATCTGCGGGTTTGAAGGAATGTTTCTTTGAAATTTAAGACTTCGCGGATTATGAGGAGGGAATTCAAGAGGGGTTCAGACCTTATCAACTTGTCCATGTTGCTGAAGTAGTTCTCCGCTTGCTGGTAATGAAAGTCATCGCCCATCGTCAGGATTATGTTGTTCGTTTGGTAATGCGATGCTTGTCTCAGAATGTAGCTGTAGAAGTCGTTGATCTAGCGGGCGAAGATTTTTTGAGGCAAAATTTCAATTTTTGTTTTTTCGCGGTTGAAAGAGTTGGGGAAAATCTTGCGAAAGGCAGTCATATTTACCTTGCGTTCAGTATTTTGACTTCCGTTCGGGGATTGATCATCCAGCGAGCGATTCTGACACAGAATGTCAAAACAGAACCCGGGGGGTGCACTATAATGATTATATAATGCCACTGAGAATAAATTCACTTTTTCACCTAGTAATACATATTTTCAGTGAATTAAGAATACACGGTTCATTCGCAAGGGTCAAGTATCGAGAAAAATTTCCATTAAAAATTGTTCTCAGCATTTTGTTCTGCCGCAGAATCACATTTTTACGAATTTTAATGGAAGTTTCTCTCCAAGTGGAGTTGACTTATCATTCTACCTAGATTTGGACTAGCTTTCCAAACAAATTCAGCAGTTTTCTCTTTCAACCTGCGCTCCTTGTCCTCCCAGTCTAGGCGAGCGAAGAACAAGGCGTCAAATCCAAACTGGGCGAAGATGGATGCCTGTTCCCTGGAATGACCGAAGGAGTCTATCTGCCAGCCAATCTTCGGTCTTGCGCATTCTCCGAAGGTGTCGTTTAACCGTCTGCAAATGATGGATGAATGATCGGGCCCCGAGAATTCCGCGAAATCGCGGAGGAATGTCGCAAACATACCTGAATCCCCAAGTTGATTGATCGATGATCGATTGATAATGCGTCGTGGCCTCGTCATTCATGCTCCACGCGCCGCCGATAATCTCCAGACGGCCTTCGTTTATGAAGGCTCTCACTTCTCTCTGGACCTCAGCATCTTGGAGGTTCCACCATTTCCATAGGTATGCTGTCTCGACGTATATAAATCTTCGGAATGGAGAAGCAGAAATGTCGTAAAGTTGTTAATTGATTGGTTGTATGGCAGGCAGTGGCATTAATTACTCAGCAGAATGGGGGGACGGATAAGCGGGGGAGTGATAACGATTGACTTGTACCTTCTTTCGGGGTCTTTCCTCAGCGCCTGTATGACGGTATCGATGATCGATTGAACGTTCGCTATCTGGATCTCTTGTCGGGCTTCAGACAGTCGTATAACGCGCATTTAGTATTTGGGATGGGGAGATAACGGCCGAGTGGTTAATCGAAATTGGAGCTTGCAATAATTGCGGTATTTGGGAAATTAAATTGGATCTCAGGAATTTTTGGAAACGTTGTGAACGAATTCGGGAGAAAACTCCATTTGTTTTTAGATGATTCTATTAAACAAATAGCAACTTATCTGCGTTTTTTCAACAGAAATTCTTAGTGGAAAACAAATGTAGAAAAAGGCTGTAGAATTTGATTTTTTATGTAATTTGTTTTTAGTTTTCTAAATAACTTATCAATTTTTTTGTTTAACAGTTATTGGAAAATCGAAATGGAATTTTTTACATGATTCCCATTGTGAGTCGATTAAATTTCTGAGAGAGAGCGCTGGGTTTATCTACTAAATTCTTCGGGAATTCCCCTGAATTCGCTTATCACTGAGATAATCTAACGAGAAGTTGACTTGGAGAAAATCCATTCATCAATTTACGAGAGAAGTGACAGAGAGTGGCCAGTGGACTTATCTCCCAGTCCAATTTCAGAGACCAGTGTTGAATGCAAAAATAATTATTGCAGAAGACACGTAAAATTAACATTTCCAGGGGAAATTCTGAATTTAGAAAAAAATTCTGCGATAAAAAAAATGCGGTTTGCAGTAATGAAATTCATTATTCATAAATTATTCATGAATAAAACTCGTAGTGTCCAAAAATTGCAAAAATTGAAAAAAAAAACAGTTTGGGCTTCTCCATTACGTTTTACCGCCCGAAAAATTTTTAAAAAATTATCTTACATCCGTAAAAATACTGGTCAATAGTCTTCAACCATCCGACATCGTCATGCGAATGCGGGACTAGATGCACGTTCAATTTTTCGGGGTGGGTTTTGGGACAGCCCTGCACAGCACAAATGAATAATTTCAGTAATTGAATTAATAATCGTGATTAGTGTTGGTAATTAAAACTGCTGTGCTTACACCGTATCCGCAGGTGCGTGCCGGCTTTCCCTCGACATTTCTCCGCACTATTCCCCCCTGAATCACCGCAAAACCATAACACAACGCGAGAAGAAGACTGAATGGGCTGCGATGCACGGCCATGGTAATCACTTCGCCTTCAGGAGACAAGCGATACTGAGTTTTGTGATAAGCGGACTAATGTTCTTATACGCCTGCTGGTTTGTATAACCCGATGAGGATGTGTGGATATAGAAATCATGAATCGGGGAACGTGTGAGGGTATTTCGTCATCAAAACGCGATGATACTGTAGATGAATTATCGGAGAGCGTTGGTGATCGACATCTGATTCTCGTGGACGCAAAAAATGAAGTGCTAAAAAGGGGGAGAGGGGATTCTAAACAAGTGATTTAGGTCAGTGGAATTACATGTTTTCGAGGTTTTTTATGAATCGTTTGAATTTTTTTCAAATTCAGAATTATTTGTATTTTTTTTAATCGAAAAAAATTGATTGTTAAAAATTTAGAAATTTTTAAAACTCATTTTGTATTTTTTTCCGTAGAATGTTGTTAATTTCCAATTTTTGGAATTTTTCGAAAAATGGGAATTACATTTTCTTTCAATTTTTAAAATATTTTTAAATTGCTTAAAGAGAAAAAATATTTTCAACTCCAAAATTTTGAATGTTGAAATAGTTGTTTTTGTTATTGCACGTTAAGTTTATGATCCCCATTCGATGTTTTTCATGAATCGTTGGAATTTGTTTTTTTAAATTGAGGATTATTTGAACTTTTTGTGTTCCAAAATTGATAATCAATGTTTAAAACTCATTTTTCATTATTTTTTAAAGATTTTCAAATTGTTTAAAACGAAAAAATACTTCAGCCTCCAAAATTTTGTTTGTTGAAATAATCAAATTCATGCCCTGTCATAAAAAAAACACGAATTTTTCCAAATAAAACACTCATTTTTCGAAAATAATACCCAATTCAAAAATCAGGCCCGGTAGCGCGCTTGGCGCGCTGCCTCTTTGGGGTATGACCGGTAGGGGTTGGTGGAATCGGGTGTGACCCGTTACGGGTCGAACCAATAACTTCCCGACCATTTGTTTTTTCTTTCATTACCTTTTTTTTTATTATGTATTTATTCAATCTTTTTCTCACATTTCTCCGGGGAAATACCCATAGAAAGAAAGTTTCTTCGCAGATTTAATAAACGCTGGGGCCATGCCACAGTGAATGCAGCGCACGCTATACGCAACGCTAGTCATTGTCAGAAATATTCGGAAAGCAGTCATCACTCATTGTTTTCTTACCCTAGATGGGATAATTTACCCAGATTCCGGAAAAAAACATTATTCGCACGGTAATCGACTGGAAAAAAAAAATTCGATGAATTTTTATTTTTAGTTTCAGTTATATAACTAACAAACCGCCGAAACGATTCAACTCAAAATTTAATCAAGTCCGAGTCTCATTGAGGCCCATCGATGGGCATAAACCAAATTGGATTCTCATCGTTTATTTAAGAGAAATCGTAGCTCAAAATTTGTTCACAGGCATACATACATACACACACACAGACATGTCTTTGGAAACGTCATAGAAAGATTCTAGGGGTCATAAAACGTGGAAATATCGTGAAATTTCCACTTTTGATTTTCGGGGTCATTACAATAACTTCCCTATAGATCGGGAAGTTGAAAAAATACAAAACAATGAAAAAAGAATTAAAAAATACTAAAATAACTGCAAAAATTTTAAGATTCATAGCTCAATATACATGAATTGAGCATTAAATCAAGCAACCGAATAGAGACTTGTGCATGGGCATCGATTATTCAAAACAAGTCGTTTTACTCAAGCACGAGTCAATTTAATGTTTATTCCTTCACCCTCCCCGAAATAATATTCGTATAAAAACTCTCGTGAAATATTGCCACGTGCCGGGAATGAAATAATTTTTCTCCATGATGCCATAACGATTGCGAACATGATAAAATAAAAAATTAATATTGACAATTCAAAAGCTGACAGTCATTAAAAAGCAATCCTGCACTTGATTCAAATGGTCTGGCTTGTGTAAAGAATATTACAGATGCAATGCAGTAAATAATTGGGCTCATATTTTTCTTCAAGAATATACCAATTATACATATATTAACAGTTGTCAGTCATTTATGGATATCACGACACTTCACGATTCTGTATTCCTGCGTTATTAATATAAATTAATTATTCAATCGGAGAGACTGTTGAATTACTGTTGTGCCCCCGCAAAAATGAGTATTATTTCTATAATATCATTAAATAATGTCAATAAATTTTAATATTCTTCCATGGAGAATAAACGCTCTTAATTCACCAGATAGTGTGTCCCCTGAAATGTACATTTTTATTTTTTCGAAAAATAAATTATAAAACGCGTCAGACATAATTGCATCGAGTTTTCACGAGATAGCCGATTATGATGAGGAAAATAATTCGTAGTTTGGCACCTATATTTCACTCTATCACTTCCTCTTAAAGCATGTGACGGCGTTGAAGTAGCAGCGCCAGTACACGCTGCCGTTGGCGGGCCCTCGTCTCTGCAGGTCCATCTGAAAATTCGTAAATTGCGTAAAAATTGCGGCGGTCGGAGTGGCTCATTTGGTAGCGCGTTTGGCTTTTGAGACAAGACGCTCGGAACGGACGGGGTTCGAGTCCAGTTGTGGGCGGTAATTTTTCCGCGAGGAATTCCGTGACTTGGAGTGAAATAGGGGCCGGAAGGGAAAAAAGAGAAAGGTAAAGAGGAGAAAGTGGTACAAAGGCGAGGATTAGGAGGAGGAGGTGGAGAAGAAAATTGGGAGAATGGAGAAGAAAGTGTCTCTCCCATGAGAAAAGGAGTTGACGGCGAAAGGCAGAGGAGAAAGGAGATGAGAAAGGAGGGCCGTAGGGAGAAAGGAGAGCGGTAAAGAGGAGAAAGTGGTATAAGGACGAGGATTAGGAGGAGGAGAAGAAGGTTTAGAGAGTGCCGTGAAGGAGGATGGAGACGAAACTTAGGAGAATGGCGAAGAAAGTGACTCTCCCATGAGAAAAGGAGTTGACGGCGAAAGGCAGAGGAGAAAGGAGAGAGGTAAAGAGGAGAAAGTGGTATAAGGACGAGGATTAGGAGGAGGAGAAGAAGGTTTAGAGTGCCGTGAAGGAGGATGGAGACGAAAATTAAGAGAATGGCGAAGAAAGTGGAAGTTCTCCCATGAGAAAAGGAGTTGCCGGCGAAACGGGGGCCGTAGGGCGGAAGGAGAGAGGTAAAGAAGAGAAAGGGATACAAAGATGAGGATTAGGAAGAGGAGAAGAAGGTGGAGGAGCCGTGAAAGTGGATGGAGAGGCAAAAATTGAGAGACTAGAGTCGAGAATGTAAGAATGAGGGTGTGTTTGATGGACACATTTGTGTCATCGATAATTTGATCATACCCCAGATTTACTCCCTCCAGATTGTGGCCCGATCAAAGCTCCTACTCTCGGCTTTGCCCTCAGCACTTCCTTTCCACCTCGCGAATCAACCATTCCCTGTCCGTCAACGGCTTTCTGAAGGGCCACCATCAGTCTGTCGAGGAGGAGGGCAGCTCTTTTTTCTTCTACCTGGAAAACATTGGAATTAATTTTTTTTAATTAATAGAGGTGAGCAATTTAGGTTAAAAAAAATTTTGGAGCAATTTAGGTTAAAAAAAATTGACGTTCAGATTTCACTGAAAATTCAATGGCGAAATTCCTTGAAATTTGAGTGGAATGTTTTTAACCGTATAAACATTATTGAATAAATACGTAAATAAGTAAGTGGATACAATAATTAGTTAATCAATTCATCTTGTCTTTTTATTGCTTCCTAAATTCACATTGAATAAAAATTTTCAGATTTTTAACTATCGATATTATAAATTGAATTGTCTTTAAATTACATTTTGAGAGAAATTTTTGTTGTATTCGCTTTTTATAAATAAATAGTGAAAGTGGTTTAAATTTTTGGAAAAAAGCAATTATTATAATTTAAAAAAAAAACATTCTCATCCCAAAAAAAACTAATTTTTCAGTCATTTTACACATCTGTGTCGAAAAGTTTCTCATCTTCTAATAATTAATGGTTCGCTATATAGAATCAAATTTAATTTTTTGAAATTCCATTATTAAAATCGAATGAGGCTCGAATGGAAGCTCTAAAGTTTAACAAAAAACTCGCTCACAATTGATTAAATAGAAACCAGTACTCGACGGTCGACATTATCAAACATAACAAATTGTGTTATTTCTCCATTCTCAAAAAAAACTTGTTTTTCTTTCCTAATGACTAATGACAATCATATCAATCATGAAGCCCGCGTACTCCCTTGGCCCCTTATATATCCCCGAAACTTTCCCCAAGAACAAACGAAACAAGCCCTGATGACGTCAAATTACTCCCAATGAACGGCGGTAAGTGGAAAAAGCCATTTCCATCAGCCACGTGATTCCTGGAGGGATAGGATCGAGGAACAACATCATTCGGTGCTATTTGTGTTTTAGAGCCGTCGGCATATCGATCTATTCAGTTCTTCCGAGTGATTTACTCTCCGTCCCGGGGAAGGAAGACAAGGATAATTGCAGGGTACCGATGGGAGTGATGAATGAACGATAAAAATAATGATCTCATTCATCGACGACGTTCTGTCAACTGCAATCGAGATTTCCTATCGTACGGAATGATTTTCACACCGGATGTATTGTTCTATTCCGAATGACCATCTGTTTTGTCAATGTGGAATGTTAGATATTGGGAATTTACATATTTTTTTATTTTTATTCATTTTTGACAGGAGAAAATGATATGAAAAATGACCAATTGGACGCGTATTGCTAATTTATGTCATTGAAAATTAGAAATTTCGATGGAAAAATCGATGGATACTGGGAATTTCAGTTCAATAATTCCATGAGAATTGAGAAAACCCAGAAAAATTCAGGCGAATGTTCAGCTTGATCGTAAATTCTCGTGTTTCTGTTGCTAAAAATTACGGAATTCCAGTGAATTTTCTATTCCCAGTCGTTATTTTATTCGTTTATTTATTTATGAATAAATGAAAGAAATAAACGAGCATTTCAGTTCTACATTCGAAAAGTGTTTATTAATTTTACAAATAAATAAACACTCAATGTGGAATATTAGATATTGGGAGTTTATGTATTTTTTATCTTTATTCATTTTCGATAGGAGAAAATGAATGAAATTATATAATTTATTAGCAGTAATGGCTTTTCCTTACGACGAATGTGCGATCTTTATGTTCAATATGATTAGTTTAACTGAAATTTCAAAGAATTTCGTTGTTAAAAATCCAAAAAGTTAAATTTTAGTTCAATTATTCCACGAGACTTGATAAAAATAGGAAAAACTCAGGTGAATGTTCAACTGATTGAAATTCTCGTGTTTCTGCTATTCAAAAATAAGGAATTCCGTTGAATTTTTTATTTCATTGAATAGAATAGCTCTGCGATATGAAGACAAAAACAATTTTCCACTCGTTATCCAATTCACTTATTTATGTATGAATAAATGAATAAATGAAATGAGTTTATTCATTTTATAAACTAATAAATAGATGAATACATAAACTAAGTATAATAATAAAATATTCATTCCTCAATAAAACATCTCTCTAATGGGCGCCGAGTTATATTCCCGAGATTTATTACGGCGTTGGCAATGAAGCAGTTGGCAAACAACCATGAGTTCATCTAATCTTTCCTAGAATTGGTTTTTCAAGTTCTGTGATTTCCCAACAGGTGCGTCCGTGATCGAAGGCAAACATAACAATTGATCGCCTTATTTACAATACCGTTTTATTACGTTAATAATTCTTTTATTGAGTCGAGATGAAATCAAACATCTCATGAATCGAGAAAAAAATATCAACATTTTCTAAAATATTATCATTATGCGAATTATATTTTATATTTTACCCGGAGAAAAAAATACAATTCTGTCAATCAAATTTAGTTCCGACAAGAAGTTATAGAGAAATTTTGTACGAAAATTACGGGCATTTGGTTGATTTAAACAAATCGATTGGCGGAATTGTTTTATAATACCGTTTTATTACGTTAATAATTATTTTATTGAGTCGCGATGAAATCAAACATCTCATGAATCGAGAAAAAAATATCAACATTTTCTAAAATAGTATCATTATGCGAATTATATTTTATATTTTACCCGGAGAAAAAAATACAATTCTGTCAATCAAATTTAGTTCCGACAAGAAGTTATAGAGAAATTTTGTACGAAAATTACGGGCATTTGGTTGATTTAAACAAATCGATTGGCGGAATTGTTTTATAATACCGTTTTATTACGTTAATAATTATTTTATTGAGTCGCGATGAAATCAAACATCTCATGAATCGAGAAAAAAATATCAACATTTTCTAAAATAGTATCATTATGCGAATTATATTTTATATTTTACCCGGAGAAAAAAATACAATTCTGTCAATCAAATTTGGTTCGGACAAGAAGTTATAAGAAAATTTTGTACGAAAATTACGGGCATTTGGTTGATTTAAACAAATTGATTGGCGAATTGTATTTTTTTATCAGTGTACATGATAATTTTTTTTTCTAAAAATATATTGAGTTGAAAATAAATGCCTGACGTGGGGATATTTATGAGGGACGTAATCCCCGTTAACATAACAATAGACAAAATATGAGGAAATGTTCAGATAACAGGAAGACTTTTGCCTGAGGAGGCGATCCTCGCCTTGAAAAGAATTCATTTCGTGGAAGGATCTCACGGGTGAATGCAGCACACATCTCTGGGTCTCGTCGGAGGGTATTGCTGACCGAAGAGGATTAAGCTCTGATTTCCAGTAGACCATAAAAATATTATTGGATTGCTGGTGGTAAGCGGCATTCCGCCAATTATCGTTTCATCGAATCATTCCGGGGACATATCCCGCTAATAAATGCAATCAAGGAGGGGCGATGGGGGAGGATTGGCGGCCGCCAGACGTCTGGGAGTGAGTTTTACGTGAAGTGCGGGAATCGAGACATTTTAGTGATGGGAGAACCGTTCGGACTAGATTTTTACGGTATTTTAGAGGCAGAAAATTCGGGGAGATGCGATGCATATTTTTCGAGAAGAGCTTCTTATTTTAGAGAAACAGAATATGAAGTGAAAACAGAATATGCAAAATAAAAAATTAAAAAAATGAATGAATTTTTTTTTATCAATTTTTTAATGCAATTTTTATTTTTCTTCTAGAGTTGGAAAAATAATTGAGTTTTTTAAAATAATGATAAATTGAATCCTATAGCCAGACAAATTATTTATTTCGATCAAATAAATAAGTTCATTTAAATAGTACTAAATAAACAGTTTTCTTATATTAAAAAAACTATTTATGAAAAATAAATAAATTATTTATCCCATTAAAAAAAATATTTATTTGAAATGAATCAATTGTTTGTTTAATATAATTACATTCTTTTTCTTGAGACAAGTAAACAAGTTCATTAATTTTTAAAGAAAATACTGTTGAAAGAAGTAAAAAATTTTAAATGAAGAAAAATTTTTCTGGGCGTACCTATAGATGATGAAAGTTTCGTGAAATTGTTTTGTAATGTATGTGATATATCGAAACAACGAGTCTCGTGAAATTCGTCGCGGTACTTTCAATTTAGAAAAAAATCCTAAACAAATCGACAAAAACTAATAGAACGAGTGAATTGAATTCGCTTGCGAAAGCATTTGCTATTCAATTTTTTCGTGTACACACGCCGACAAACCAATGTTGAAGTCGGGAAATGTAATACAACTAGTCAGTTTGTCAATTTTCGTCAGCAGAACGTTTTTCAATCGAAAGTCATTCGGCAAAAATACAACAGCAGTTTTTTCACATTCGTCTCCCCTCCAAAAGTTTAGACTAAACTTTGCTCTTCTTTAATTTCCCAAAATTAATTCAAATTCTTCCTCTCTCCGGGGAGATGAAGTGGATAAACTCGACAGCAACGAATTATTAAATAATTTTGTTACGTCATGACAAAAAGCCCAATTCCCCAACTTCGGGAATTCATTTATAAGGCGATTGAATTATCACAAATTGAAATTTTCCAATTCTCGTTAACGCGACATTTGTCAATGGACATTCAGTTAATACAACAAAGGGTTTTTTACCATTTTTTTCTGAGGCGCGACAAATTTAGTAGCAAAGTGGTAAAACGGTTCAAGTTGTCCTAGCCCTTAGCTGAGTTTTCAAGGAGTATCTCTGAAACTAAGGGAGATAACGAAATTTTTGTTATTACCTTTTTTATAGAGCGAATTAAGCACCACAAAAAAGGTTATGACAAAAAGTTTGCCATCTCCCTTAGATTTCGAGATATTCATGAAAAACGGATGAGATAATTCAGTAGTAAAACAGTTAAGTTGTTCTAGCCCTTAGCTGACTTTTCCAGGAAAATCTCCGAATCTAAGGGAGATAAGAAAATTTTTGTTATTACCTTTTTTATAGAGCAAATTCAAGGCTATAAAAAAGGTTATGACAAAAATTTTGCCATCTCCCTTAGATTTCGAGATATTTATCGAAAACCAATAGTAAAAATCGACTTGAACAGTTTTACCGATTCGCTTTAACATCTTTTAACAACTGTTTCTATCAAGATATTTTCTACAGGAATCTCTCGACATAGATTTTCTGATTGTTTGAAGTTGTGTAGAAAAATGGACTTCTATTCGATTTTCCATTGCTTACGTCCAAACAGCTGGAAACATATCGCGTAATATTTCTCTTCAGAAAGTTTGATGATGAGATGAATGAGTGAACAATAATTAACCGAACAATCTCTCAAGTGCGCGCTATCTCGGTGCGAGATAGCGTGAGAACGTAAACTTGTGAATAATTGAGAGGAGATGTGAAAAGCAGTTGAACGGAAATGCGGAGTTTGCCGAGGCGGGATTGCCCGGTAAAGTTGTTTACAGCTACTGGCACATAGTTCTATTGGATCTTATTCGGTTGAGGTGAAACACCGGTGAAGTGATAGCGGAGAATTTAATATTGCCCGCTACGAGGAACTTCAATCATCCGATAATGTGCAGTGAAGTTCAACAGTAAGAGTTGGATTGTGGGATTTGAAGTCATTCACAATGATATTTAAAAAAAATTAAATTCTTGACAACAATTGCGCGACCTTTATGGTTAATATTATTAGTGTACTGAAATTTCGAGGAATTTCATCCTTAAACATTTATAATAATGCAATAAATAAGAAATTCTATTGAATTTTCAGTGAAACTTCGATTTTTTCATTCATTGCTGGAAGTTCTTGATTGAAATTTCCGAAAAAAAGTGATGGGAATGCTAAATTTGAGTTGAATTTTTTCATAAAAAATTATAACAATCATCAAGATTTAGATGAATACATTCTTAAATCGTTAATAGATATTTCAGAGAAATTTAGCAGAATTTCCAGTGAAATGAAGTAACACATTTTTTATTCAAAGTTGAACTTGAATTCATGATTTTAATTCTTCAATTTTCCTTGCAATGAACACATGAATTTCTTCATCCCCAACAAAAATACTTCCGTAATGCAAAAAACCTTCGAATAAATGGATTTATTCCACTCGAGAGCGCAATTTCTCCGGGTGAATTCAATTGAATTCTTCAATAAACAAAAAATTTCAACAATTTAATGAGCATAATTCCCCGGAGTTCAATAAAGTAAAAATGTCTTTTTTCATTCATATCCATAACTTAACCAGAAATCGATTTCATTCCTAAAAAATAGGGTTTCCAAAAGTTTAAACAATTTCAATTACTTATTTCAATTTTTAACTTATTTCAATTATTTATTTACGAATGAATTGAAAAGTAATAATTCTGCGAAAAATGTTATTTGAATAGCGCTGCATATTCATAATTTTTTTCCTTAAAATTCCGTTCATTTTATTATTACAGAGGATTTATTCAGAATGAATAAATCATTCAATTCTTCAATTAAATTCATAAATATTATCATAATGCACAAAAAACCTTCAAATATATCGATTTATTCCACTCGAGAGCGCAATTGCTCCGGGTGAATTCAATTGAATTCTTCAATAAACAAAAAATTTCAACAATTTAATGAGCGTAATTCCTCGGAGTTTAATAAAGTAGAAATTACTTTTCTCATTCATATCCATAATTTTACCAGAAATTGATTTCATTCCTAAAATATAGGGTTTCCAAAAGTTTAAACAATTTCAATTACTTATTTCAATTTTTAACTTATTTCAATGATTTATTTACGAATGAATTGAAAAGTAATAATTCTGCAAAAAATGTTATTTGAATAGCGCTAAATATTCATAATTTTTTTCCTTAAAATTCCGTGTATTTTATTATTACAGAGGATTTATTCAGAATGAATAAATCATTCACTTCTTCAATTAAATTCATAAATATTATCATAATGCACAAAAAACCTTCAAATATATCGATTTATTCCACTCGAGAGCGCAATTGCTCCGGGTGAATTCAATTGAATTCTTCAATAAACAAAATATTTCAACAATTTAATGAGCATAATTCTCCGGAGTTCAATAAAGTAGAAATGTCTTTTTTCATTCATATCCATAATTTTACCAGAAATTGATTTCATTCCTAAAAAATAGGGTTTCCAAAAGTTTAAACAATTTCAATTACTTATTCCAATTTTTCAACTTATTTCAATGATTTATTTACGAATGAATTGAAAAGTAATAATTCTGCAAAACATGTTATTTGAATAGCGCTAAATATTCATAATTTTTTTCCTTAAAATTCCGTTCATTTTATTATTACAGAGGATTTATTCAAAATGAATAAATCATTCAATTCTTCAATTAAATTCATAAATATTATCATAATGCACAAAAAACCTTCAAATATATCGATTTATTCCACTCGAGAGCGCAATTGCTCCGGGTGAATTCAATTGAATTCTTCAATAAACAAAATATTTCAACAATTTAATGAGCATAATTCTCCGGAGTTCAATAAAGTAGAAATGTCTTTTTTCATTCATATCCATAATTTTACCAGAAATTGATTTCATTCCTAAAAAATAGGGTTTCCAAAAGTTTAAACAATTTCAATTACTTATTTCAATTTTTAAACTTATTTCAATGATTTATTTACGAATGAATTGAAAAGTAATAATTCTGCAAAAAATGTTATTTGAATAGCGCTAAATATTCATAATTTTTTTCCTTAAAATTCCGTGTATTTTATTATTACAGAGGATTTATTCAGAATGAATAAATCATTCACTTCTTCAATTAAATTCATAAATATTATCATAATGCACAAAAAACCTTCAAATAAATCGATTTATTCCACTCGAGAGCGCAATTTCTCCGGGTGAATTCAATTGAATTCTTCAATAAACAAAAAATTTCAACAATTTAATGAGCATAATTCCCCGGAGTTCAATAAAGTAGAAATGTCTTTTTTCATTCATATCCATAATTTTACCAGAAATTGATTTCATTCCTAAAAAATAGGGTTTCCAAAAGTTTAAACAATTTCAATTACTTATTTCAATTTTTAAACTTATTTCAATGATTTATTTACGAATGAATTGAAAAGTAATAATTCTGCAAAACATGTTATTTGAATAGCGCTAAATATTCATAATTTTTTTCCTTAAAATTCCGTTCATTTTATTATTACAGAGGATTTATTCAAAATGAATAAATCATTCAATTCTTCAATTAAATTCATAAATATTATCATAATGCACAAAAAACCTTCAAATATATCGATTTATTCCACTCGAGAGCGCAATTGCTCCGGGTGAATTCAATTGAATTCTTCAATAAACAAAATATTTCAACAATTTAATGAGCATAATTCTCCGGAGTTCAATAAAGTAGAAATGTCTTTTTTCATTCATATCCATAATTTTACCAGAAATTGATTTCATTCCTAAAAAATAGGGTTTCCAAAAGTTTAAACAATTTCAATTACTTATTTCAATTTTTTAACTTATTTTAATGATTTATTTACGAATGAATTGAAAAATAATAATTCTGCGAAAAATGTTATTTGAATAGCGCTGAATATTCATAATTTTTTTCCTTAAAATTCCGTTCATTTTATTATTACAGAGGATTTATTCAGAATGAATAAATCATTCAATTCTTCAATTAAATTCATAAATATTATCATAATGCACAAAAAACCTTCAAATAAATCGATTTATTCCACTCGAGAGCGCAATTGCTCCGGGTGAATTCAATGAGATTCTTCAATGAACAAAAAATTTCAAAAATTTAATATTAATTCCTGAGAGTTCAATAGAGTAGAAATGCCTTTTTTTCTCAATGATATTGCCAGAGTTTTTCACATGCACTCAATCACTCGTAACGACACCACTCGATACAAATAAGCATATAAACTCACTGGATACCGCTCCTGGCTCCTCGAGTAATCCTCGTAGTCGTACGATTCGGAAAGATTGTCAGATAAGCTTCTCTTCGGGAGAACCCGCGCAACAGTTGTTGTGACGATGAGGACGACCATAAAGATCACTGTCACCAACGACATTCCCATGTCGCGAACAATTTCTGTATGTTCCAATCAATAAAGAAGACAATTCAGTGAAGAGTTCACTCGAAGATCAGTTTTTTTCAAACGTCTCTGAATCCAAATTAATAAAAAAATGGCAAAATTTTCCAAAACAAACTCTTTTATATTTAAAATAAATTTTCTTCACAATTCTCCACAAAAAAAAATTTCTAGAAAAATTCAGCCATCTTTATTGTCGTCGGAGACGTTTTCCAAAAACTTCACTTCACGAAATTTTTTAATACAATTGAATGTCAAAATGAAAGAATTCGTTGAGCACAAGTGGATCTTACGAAATGCTCACGCGAGAAACTGATTCAGGATTTTTATGAATGACTTTTTAAATCTTCCCGCTTTAGGTTTATTATACGGTTCACGTGGAGTAGTTGACCACAGGTTTCAACAGCATTGTTGAGATTCGATGTGATGCGTGAGGTAGAGCACCACCAGCCTATATACTTCGGCGTGAGACCCCCAAGGGCGGTATACGCGCAAGCGCCCCCTCATTTTTCAGTGATTCCGTCGCTTAAGTGACAGCTTTTTTCGGAAGATTCAATTTTCGGGGGTTTTAGGAGACTGAAAGTTATGGCTTAAGACTCAGAGGGAGGGGAAGGGGGAATGGAATGATTTGCATTAAGTATGAAGCACATCTTGCAGCGATTTTATTATTTACACTACGAAAATGACGGCTTCTTCTGCAAATAAAGCTTGAAGTTAATTAATTTTTTACTCTAAAGTTGTTTTATGGAATCGCAAACAGCGATTTTAACTCAAACAACTATCGTGATTTATTTATGATAAACGTTTTGAAATGTTTTTGAAAAGTACGATTTTTTAATTAAAGTATGAGTATTCAATAAAAATTCAGCGGAATGAAACAATTTTAATTGAGTGTAGAGCACATTTTGCAGTTATTTTATGGTTTATAGTTTGAAGACGGTGATTTTTTCTGCAAATAAATGTTGAAGTTAATGAATTTTTTTACTCTAAAATTGTTTTACGGAAGGGCAATGAGCGATTTCAACTCAAACAATTATCATGATTTATTTAGAACAAAGGAATATTTTTGAAAAGTGCAAATTTTTAATAAAAATATGAGTGTTCAATAGAAATCCAGCGGAATGAACAAATTTTAATTGAGTATAAAGCACATTTACAATGATTTTATTATTTACAGTCTGAAGATGACGATTTTTTCTGCAAATAAAGGTTGAAGTTAATGAATTTTTCACTCTAAAATTGTTTTACGGAATCACAATGAGCGATTTTTACTCAAACAATTATCATAATTCATTTATAGCAAAAGAATGTTTTAGAAATGTATGAATTTTTAATTAAAATATGAGTATTCAATAGAAATTCCGCTGAATTCTCTGTTAATCGTGATTCAATGGACAAGACTCAATGAATCTGATTAAATAATTCCCCCTGAATTCAACGCAATTTCGTGAAAAAGCCCTTCAACATAACAAACAATAAATGTGAACGTCCGCATGAAAAGGGACCACTTTGTCGATTCTAGTTTCCGAGATATTCACGTTTTCGTCTCAGCAACTCCCATTTACACTCATGTTAAGGTGTTTTTTTCATCTGCTCCGGCGACGTCATTTTTCACCCTATGAGGATCATTTTGGGCTCAAAATGTGCGGAATGTTATAAATATTATCAGAGTATACATAACTCCATATCGACAAAGTGGTCCCTTTTCATGTGGACGTCCACAAATATCTGCGAAAGGTTCCGAGTTCAAATCCCGGCCGGGTAGAATGGTGCGATCTAACCATTTAAAAAAAGTCTTAAAACCATTTAAAAAGTAAATGAGTCTTGATCATCATCGCAGTATACCCTAACCGGGTCGAAGCGATGTAAAATACCAATAAAAAAAAACAGTAAATATCCGAACGGAATGCCATGATTTTTCTTTCGAGAGAATCCCACGGGAACTTGGTAGCAAATGTCCTCAGGAACAAATTAACACATATGGAAGAAAGCAGGAAATTTTTGCGACATCCTCACGCTTTTATTAGTTAACTGAGACTTATGACCCTCGGCCAACAGCGTTCATTACACTCTCTGTAGCTGAATTGACCCCAGTTTCCTCTCCATGGAAAAATACAAGGGTTGAGGGGGCAAAATGAACACTCCATATTTTTTTAATGCTAAAAAATGGTTTTCAATTGTTAACAACATGATTTGTAAAACAAAATTAATTATTTAATTGTTAACAACATGAAATAATTTTTCTTTTCCTAGAAGAATTCACTTCTTTCCTCTTGTAATGAACCCAGACTCAATTCAAGACATCAGATTGATCAATTCATCAATTGATTTCTTGAATTATCAATATTTTTTTAAAATATCTGAAGTGTTCATTTTGCCCGACTTTTACCTGCATACCACAATTCATAAACTACAACAATTGTTGCATAAAATTGTTGTTGTTGAAAATAAATTAGTTTTAAAATATTACAGTGTAATATTGGCAGCAAGTAGTATAAGTCAATATACCTCACAAAAATTATAATTATATTGGCTAAAGGCCCTCGGACGATGGCCTATTGTAACGAAACTTTTTTCTATTGCAAGAAATTTTTTTTTGTGTATTTTTCTCGAAATAAATTTGGCTAAAAATAAGAAAAAATTGTAATTATATATTAATATTAAATTATAATATTATTCTCAACTGAATGTTACTTCATAAATCACTACATTTGTTGCATAAAATTGATTTGGGATTTAACAAACTCTGTGTAGACAAACTAATTTCAAAATACAATAGATTAATATTAGCGACAAGTAGTACAAGTCAATATACCTCAGAAAAAAATCACGTTAAAATAAATTGAAACAACATTTCGAATGTCTCGACTCAAAACTTAAGAAAGCACCCCCTCATATTTAAATATATTTCCCAAGAAAAATTTTTTTTTATGGAAGAACAATATAATAATGTCATGAGTTCAGGCTTTTCAATCCATCAATTCCTTGATTTAAATTATGAATATTGATTTCGGATTAAACAAACTCTGTGTAGACAAACTAATTTCAAAATACAATAGATTAATATTAGCGACAAGTAGTACAAGTCAATATACCTCAGAAAAAAATCACGTTAAAATAAATTGAAACAACATTTCGAATGTCTCGACTCAAAAATTAAGAAAGCACCCCCTCATATTTAAATATATTTCCCAAGAAAAATTTTTTTTTTAATGGAAGAACAATATAATAATGTCATGAGTCCAGGCTTTTCAATCCATCAATTCCTTGATTTAAATTATGAATATTGATTTCGGATTAAACAAACTCTGTGTAGACAAACTAATTTCAAAATACAATAGATTAATATTAACGACAAGCTAATCAACCTCAATATACCTCAACAAGTCAATATACCTCAGAAAAAAATAACATTAAAATAAATTGAAACATTTCGAATGTCTCGACTCAAAAATTAAGAAAGCACTCCCTCACATTGGGATAAACCTGAGGTACCCAGGCCACTTCTCAACAAGCAACTTCGCTCAGTCGATTTGAAATCGAGTAATGGGTCTCTTTGATGCTGTAACCCATCCATTTACAAAATGTCAACATCATTCCGCGGGTATTTATCGCAAACATAATTCCCTGTCCCGCCATAATCCATCTATATATTCATTTATTCAACATGAAACTTCAGGAGTTCGGATGCAAAATGAAAATGAAGAGAAGTTGAAATATACTCCCCAAGAGAAATTACTTTTTTCGGGAAAAAGACGTGAATAAACAATAGTATTCACGTCATCTTCTGTAAACAGCAGCGAGTAACCTTCATATCCACGCGACCGTAAAAAAAGCAATTGCGTTATTAATTCGGAGGAATTTGTTTTGTCGGGGTCGTCAATACTAAAAAATTCACGTTATCGTCAGATTTAAATCAACAATGAATGGGAATACTTGATGTTGAGTCTCTTGCGTGACTTTCGGTGATATATTCTCTGATGTCACAGGACGTCGATTATTCCGATCATCCATCAATGATTTCACTGCCTACAATTTTCTTCCCACGCACGAGAGCGCATTTCATTCATGCCGAGGGTCTTTCGAGACGTTAAACGGGGGATCGGTCTGAGATATCCGTAATTACTCATTAAGTTTGTGGTGAGTTGAGACGATGAGAATCACAGGGGAACAACAAGTTTTGGGTCTAGCAAACTGGGGAATTCTATCATTTAATGAGATTTAATTCGAGAAGCAAATGATTTTTTCAAGAATTTTCAAAGACAATTCAGAGTACAATCTAATTAAAAACTGTTATTATATTTTAGGGACACTGATTGTTATTATTTCAAATAATTGATTAGTTGGTTTAAACAATTCATGTTTATCAGGTTTCCTGAATTTTGAGAATATTTTTTTAAATTACGAATTTTAGGAATATTGTTTCTAAATTTCAGTAAATGAATTATCAAAATTTAGGATAAGTCCATGTTGTTGGCAGAAAATTTCAATTTCAGGGATAGTTGACTAGGAATTTTTAGGAGAATGACATTGAGTGCAATTTAGAAGAAGAAAAATTATGAAATTTTAGGTTTTACTGAAAAATTCACTGAAATTCTACATTTCAGTTGAATTTCCAATCGAAACACGAATATTCACTATCAAATCACTCTGAATTTCCAATTAATTTAATAAAAAAAATATATTTACTTGAATTTTTCCTGATTTCTATTAATTTTCATTAAATAATTCAACTGAAATTTCCAATTTCCATTGATTTTTTCCCTAAAATTTTTAATTCTTAATGATAAAATTCTTTAAAATTTCGCCAGAACTATAGTGTGACGAAAATATTCACGAAATGCACCTGGAATTTCAACCAATAAAAACAGAGAATAGAAATCCCCAGAAATTACGGATAGATTTCTAAAAATTAAGAATCAATTCCCAGAAACTAAACAATTTTTTTTCTCTGTGAAAATATTGAAATTAACGCACTAAAATAATTGCACACGAAGAAAAAAATGTCGTAAAATAAAATAATTGAACTGAAATTTCCAGCGTCCTCCGATTTTTTCCCTAAATTTCTTAAATCTCAATTCCAAAATTCTTTAAAATTTCGTCAGACCTATGTGATAAAAATATTTAAGAACTCCACTTGAACTTTCAACCAATAAAAACAAAGAATATAAATCCCCGAACATTTCACATAAATTTCTAAAAATTAAGAATCAATTCCAAAAAACTAAATCATTTTTTTTCTCTGCGAATAAACATTGACGTTGACTCGCTAAAATTGCTGTGGTTATGAAAAAAAATACAGTAAAAAATACACAAAAATGTCCTGTAACAAATTCAGTAATTTTCTACATCCCTCACAATTTTAATAACTGATTTTTCTCTGTGTGGGCATCACAGAAAATTAATCT